AGTAAGCATATTTAAAATAAGTTTTCAAAAATTGGTTGGTATGCAGATGTTTGAACAGAGCCAGTGGTTCCAGTTATAATTTAGTATGCAACATATAGCTTACTCAGTTGGATAAATTGCCTTCATATCAAAAATAAAATATTTTATCTCTAGGTTAAGACAAAACAGGTAAATAGGCCAAGCATGGTGGCTCATGCCTATAATCCCAGCACTTTGGGAGGCCAAGGCGGGCGGATCACCTGAGATTAGGAGTTTGAGACCAGCCTGGCCAATGTGGTGAAAACCAGCCTCTACTAAAAATATAAAAATTAGCTGGACATGGTGGTACACACCTGTAATCCCAGTTACTTGGGAGGCTGAGGCAGGAGAATCGCTTGAACCTGGGAGGCTGAGGTTGCAGTGAGCTGACAGTGCACCATTGCACTCTCAGCCTGGGTGACAACAGCGAAACTCTGCCATATACACAAAAAGAAAATCGGTAAATATTGTTTGATAGGAACTTGAAAATATACATATACAGTTTAAAATAATGCCATGGTGCAAAACTAAGAATTTTCTAATTAGGAATTGTTAGCATTTGGTTTTAAAATTTAGGCTGGGCCTGATGGCTCATACCTATAATCCCAGCTCTTTGGGAGACCAAGGTGGGAGGATCTCTTGAGCCCAGGACTTTAAGACCATCCTGGACAACAGAGTGAGACCCTGTTTTATAACAAAATTTATGCAAAATTTAAAAAATTAGCTGGATGCGGTGGTGCATACCTGTGGTCCCAGCTACTTGAGGCTGAGGTGGGAGGACTGCTTGAGTCTAGGAGGTCGAGGTTGCAGTGAGCTGTGGTTGTATGGCCGCATTCTAATCTGGGCAACAGAGTGAGATCCTGTCTCAAAAAACATATACATAATTTTTAAATTGAATTATTTTTAAATTATACGTACTTAGGGGGCACATAATGATGTTTTGATACACATAACTATAGTGATCAGATCAGCGTAATTAACAGGTCCATCATCTCAGACGTTTATCATTTCTTTGTTTTTGGGGATGTTTAGTATCTTTCTCTTAGCTGTTTGAATCTATATAGTAGATTATTAACTATAGTCATCTTACAGTGGTATAGAACACTACAACTTACTCCTTCTATCCAACTGTAATTTTGTCCTTTATTTGTATCCTTTAACAAATTTTAACTGTGGAATTGAGTGTGACTGCCAGGAAATCAGGTCATTTAGACTTTAGCTTAACTTTTCTTTAACATAGAACTTTTTGCTCTGGTGATCATCTGAGTCGTTGAGCTTCAATGGTTTCTTCCGTGTCAGAGTGGCTACCTCCCCACTGCCACCCCAACTTGACACACAAAAGGTTACCAAATCCCTGTTGCTCTCACTGTTTTATTATCTTCCCATCCCATAACAAAAATTTAAACCTAAACTCTCTACCTGTTTCAGATTCTCAGGTTTTAGTATAATTTTATTTTGTCATTATTTTCAGCTTTATTATTTTAATACTTAATTAAAGCAAAAGTTTATTGAGTGAAGCATTTTTTTTCTATTTGATGAAATTTTATTCAGCAATAAAGAGGAAAGAGTGAAGCATTTTTAAAATAACATTTTTATTTTTATTTTTTTGCTCTGTTTCTTCCTTTCTTTCTTTTTGCTTATCTTTATATTAGATGGGTAACTATTTCATTCTGGCTGTGAAATGTCCTCCTTCCTGAATATATTGATTGAGGTTCATTGCTCAAACCTAAAACTTATTCTTCTGGATTATTTTTAAAAATTTAATTAACTAATTAATTTTTTTTTTAGTGACAGGGTCTCTGTCACCTGGGCTGGAGTGCAGTGGTGTGATCATAGCTCACTGCAGCCTCCAACTCCTAGGCTTAAGTTATCGTCTCTCCTCGGTCTCCTCTGTAGGGGGGATTACAGGTGAGTTCCAGCACACCCAACGGATTTTTTTTTTTTTTTTATAGAGGTGGGGTCTTGCTTTTTTGCCTGGCTGATATTGAACTCCTGGCTTCAAGCAGAATTATTTTTATTTTAATGGTGGCCTTTAGTAAAAGTGATATTACATTTTTCTGAATGTCCTTGGTAGCCATGAAGTTAGCAAATGTTTATGCACAGGATCTGAGTGAAATCCAGTTGTGGTTAAGGCAATTTGAATATACTCTGGTTCTCTTACTCTGTTTCTGCCTAGCTTTTTTCATATATCCTAAATCACTGCTTTTTATTTCCAGCAATTTCCCATTCGGCTTCCCTTTGCATTTAGTTCTGTTGTTTCTTTCTTTCCTTTCCTGTTGGCCTTCGTAGGAATTTATATTTGTAGGATGGAGAGTCGCTTGTTTAGAGAACCTCCTCCGGGTATTGGTTTTGGATTTTGGTTATTTTGTAGATTAAAAAGGGAAGAAAACAAAAGTTGAGCCAAATGTGCATACAGTATAGCCACTTTCGCTTAAAGTACAATTTTCATGACAAATATATTCATAAACTTAGACTAAAGAACTGGAAGAGGAACCATGTAGTTTATATGGCCTCTTCCTGTCTTCTCATTTTGAAGATGAGAAAACTGAGGCAGAGGTATGCTTCCGATAATGATACCATGAAAGTAATTTGCTTGAATGACTGTTTTACAGGATTAGAATTTGTCTCTTATAAAGCCAGGAAGGAGACTGAAAGATGTTGTTAAATTATTAAGAGAAGAACAAACATATTTGGTCAGTTTTTATTTTAGGCCTTTGATGTATGGTCCCCATGAATCAGGTTTCTGTTTGTTTTTAACTCTGGCATGGGCTCCCAGGGTGACATCACACTTTTTACTTGAAATCTCACTGGAACCAAGAGCACATGGAAAGTACCTTTTCCTGATACTTGTTCCCTCATCGCCACACTTTTAAAATACACACAGTTACGTATTTAGAGAGAAACAAATAAAAAGATCATTGGTCAGGTTGTTCATTAATACTTTGCACCATAAAATGAGAATTAATAAGAATAGCTAACTTAATTTTGAGTGCTAATTATTTTCCATGTATCTGTTTCTTACAGTAGCCCTTTGAGGTGAGTAAAGGGCTACTGCCATTTTGACAGGTGGTTAAAGCTAGATGCCGAGAGGTGTATTTACTCTAGTCATACAGCTAATAAGGGCTGGAATGAGGACTAGTTAAATAAACCCTGGAAGTCTAATTCCTGGGTCCCCATTCTAACCATTGCACTCTGCAGGGGGCTTACCCAAATGGCGTGTATTGTGACATGTTAGGCAGTGGGCAGGTCAGGAATTGTGGGCCATTCAGGAATAGGGAGCATATGAGTGAATCACAGATGTACGGGCGCATGACAGTGTTGGTCAGGCGTTTGGACTGAAGTGTGAGTAGTGCATAGGGAGATAATGGGATACAGGCTAGAGCGGTGGGTAAGGTCGTAATTTTGATGTTAGTTTTCTGAGTGTTTGGGAACAACTGAAAAGGTTTTAATGGGGACATGTGAGACTCCCTTCCACAGTCTGCCCCTCACAGTACCTCTGCTTAATCTGTCTCTTGCCCTCTGACCCCTTCCTCTTTCCCCCAGCTATACTAGGTCATGTACCAGGAGCTAAGGTGATGAGGGAATTGGGGGTAGGGGTATCTCAGTCATTAACTGATTTTCTTTTTTTGTTTTTTAGCCTGGCACCTCTTCCTTCCTGTGTTTCATTGAGTCTGCAGCCTTGTGTGAGGATTGGGTATGCTCTCATGAGGCAGAAGTATGGGGAATCGGGGGTCTGATCATTGCTTATGTGAACATCAGCAGTTCTCCTTGTTTTCTGCTCAGTGTGTTACTCATGCTCCCTGAAAGACTTGGTGCCTCCAATTCCTGAGCCTTTCTGGAGTTCTGCCAGGTTTTCCGGCTTGCCTTCCACTGATGCCCATCTACCAGCCTTGGCTTCCCTGTCCTGTGTCATTTATCACTTCATCTGCTTTCCACCTCTTCAGACTTTCAGCTATCTTCTGGTTTCATGAAAGAGAGAGTTGGTGTTTCTATTTCCTTTTATTGTCATTTTGGGATGAATCTTGAGGGAAAAAGGAGACGTCTTCAAACCAGAAGTCCCATTCTTCATCATTGCCTAGCATCTAGTGGATTTTTTCCCTTTGTAGTACTTAGTGGGCTCTTGTTAATTAACTAAAGCACTAAAGACTCTTAAGGAAAGTCTGAGTAAGAAGTCAGTAGTGGTGGGACAGTGGGAATATATGCGACAGCTGCATGAGCGGCTGGTTGAATGTGGGGTCAGGAAGCAGGAGGAGTTTGAGGAGGTTTTTCAGCTTTGGCAATTTGTAATTGGTAGTCTCTTCTTGTTTTTAAGGCAGCTATTGTTGGGTTTGCTTGTGACAGGTTACAAAGGTCGGCAATGGGCCTGCATTCCTATATAAATACTTTTACCAGCACAGTCTCTGTTCTTGGAACTTGACAGAATCAGTTCAGGAGCTTCACTAATAAGATGCACACTATGATGTCTAGATACATAGTTGAAGCATTAATAGGCATTACAAATAAAATGACCTCAGAACCATGTAGCAAGTGAAGTGATGTAGCTTGTCTTATTTAAAGTAAGAAATTCTGAAGTAGAATAAAGTGGTGTGATGGAAACATATGCATCTTTATCCTTAACACATAAGACCCATATTTTATCAGATTATCCTCACGTAAAGTGAAAAAAGTTAAATCCTTAGTGTATTATGCATTTTGTAAGCAGCTGTGTAATAGGACGGAAAATGTCAGTGCAACAAGTGTTTGAAAATGTCTGCTTTGGTGTGATTTCAGTGAGGAGGACATGTACCGTGCTGCAGATGAAATAGAAAAGGAGAAAGAATTGCTTATACATGAAAGAGGGGCATCAGGTATGTTTGGAATTGTTTTATTTATAGAGTTCTTATTTATAGCAGAAAATGCAGTTAAATCAGTATATTCGTTTTCATAAAATATTAATGTGTACTTCTTAGGAAATATTCTTATGTACATGGTCTTATCAGTATTGATTATTTGTTTTGGTGAGGTATGTTTAGAGACTATTGTTGCCTGAGGTTTTTAAATTTTAATGCAAGCATTCCCTCTGCATTCTTTACATTCATATCATTTTTTGCACCTGTGAGGATTATTTTGTTTAATCTCTTGATACCATCCTCTCTCTGTTCTTGATTTCCTTATATTCTTAGAGGGAGAGTTCAGATTTGAAGTGCATTTTTCATTTCAAATGGAAAGACTTCACTGAGAAACTGGCTGTACGCATCTTTGTATGCAGATGGCCATATGAATGTGGTTAAGTAATAAGAAAGACGGTGTTGGGATCAGTAGCACAGAGTCTCATCGTTTTGTGATTTCATGTCTGTGTTTTTCTTGTCTTGCCTGATCTTACTCCTACTAGGACCCATTGCTCCTGGAGTGAGGTGTTACTCCTGGCCCCCTCCGCTGGTCCATGGAGACTTGGCTGGCAAGGTTGCATGTGATGTACATCCTTAGTTCCCTGACTGCCCTCATGCAGGAGCCGCATAGGGATACTCCATGAATAATCACAAGTGGCATTTTCTCTCTCATTATATGACTAATGTATAAGAAGACTATAAAAAAGGTTATGGAAAAATGGAATTAAAAGATAGAAGGCTGGGTGTGGTAGATCATACCTGTAATCCCAGCACTTGGGGAGGCGGAGGTGGGTGGATTGCTTGAGTCCAGGAGTTTGAGACCAGTCTGGGCAAACAAGGAGACCCTGTTTCTACTAAAAATACAAAAATTAGTCAGGCGTGGTGGTGCATGCTTATGGTGCCAGCTACTCAGGAGGCTATGGTGGGAAGACCACTTCAGCCTGGGAGTTTGAGGCTGTAGTGAACCGTGATTGTACTGCTGCACTCCACCCTGGGTAACAGCGAGACCCTGTCTCAAAAAACAAACAAACAAACAAACAAAAATATATATATGTATGTATAAAAACTTTGTTTCTCAGCATAAGCTCCATCAGTTTCAAGCCACTTTTAAATGATGATACCAGCCATTTGTTGAACTCATCCCTAAAGAACTGACAGGCCTGGGAATTTAATGATGTGAATGCAGTCTTTTTTACATTACAAGCTGAAGAAAAATGTGTTTCCTTTTTTAAAGGCTTCTTAAGATTAGGAAACAAAAGGAAGTCAGAAGGAGCCAAATCAGGACTGTACGGTGGATGCTTAATGATTTCTCATCAAAACTCTTGCCCTTGTTTGAGAGGAAGGAGTAGGAGCATTGTTGTGATGGAGAAGGACTCTTGGTGAAACTTTCTCTGGCATTTTTCTGCTGAAGATTTTGCTTTCTCAAAACACTGTCAGAATAAGCAGATGTTAATTGTCCTTTGGCCCTTCAGAAAGTCAACAAACAAAATACTTCAACATCCCAAAAACCTGTTGCCCTGACTTTTGCTCTTGACCAGTCTGCTTGTTTTGACTGGACTCCTTCCACCTCTTGGTGGCCATGGCTTGGGTTGTGCTTTGTCTTCAGGATCGTAGTGGTGAAGCCAGGTTTCATCTCCCATTACAATTCTTTGAAGAAATGCTTTGGGGTCTTGATCCCACTTGTTTAAAATTTCCTTTGAAAGCTTTGCTTCTGTCAGCAGCTAATCTGGAAGCAGTGGTTTTGGCACCTATGGAGTGGAAAGTTTGCTCAACTGTAATTTTTTGGTGAGAATTATGTAAGCTGAACCAGTTGAGATGTCTATGATGTTGGCTGTTGTTTCTGCTGTTAATTGTTGGTTTTCTTCAATTAGGACACAAGCAAGGTTAATATTTTCTTCCTGAATTGATATGGATGGTCTGACACTGCAGGTTTCATCCTCAGCATCATTATGTCCCTTATGAAAACGAGTTTTCCATTTGTAAGCTGCTGATTTATTTGGGGCATTGTCCTTATAAACTGTTGATAAATCATAAGTGATTTCACCATTCTTTCACCCATGCCTCACTCTAAGGTTGATGTTTTTTTCTTGCTTTAATTTTAGCAGAACTCATGTTGCTCTAACAGGGGCTCTTTTCAAACTGATGTCTTATCTTTCTCAGTGCTTTAGACTAGATCCCGTTCATACATGTTATAAAAAGTTAGTTTGAGTTTATCATGGTACCAAAAAAAATTGAAATCCATCCACAGCTTTTTCATAAAACTCATTTTCCATGAACCTTAGAAGACCCTTGTCTGTGTTCTGGTTTTGAGAACTAGCTTCTGTTTATGGTGAACAAAAGCATTGCCATGTGTGATTAGAAACAAATGATACACAGTGTGGTTTTTATAATACTTTTTGAGCCTTACTCAAGGAATTGGTGAACACTTCACTGTGGTAGCCACAGGAGACACTCTTCATAGTGGTGTGTTCTGGGGCTGCACTGTTCCAGTCTTCCATGAAACTTCAGAGAATGCTCAGTCTCTATTGCTGTGGCTGCTCAAAATTTCATGTAGGGTGCAGCGTCCTCATTAGTCAGATTCCTAAGAAGGAAGTGCGTATTCAGCTGGTGTTTGTTACCCGCTGACAGTCCTCCACCCTATAGGCTTTCTGTTGTGATTCTCTTCTGTCTGGCATTGTACCCCACATAGGCGATCAAGCTTTATAGTGGGTCTTGTAACTCCTAGCTTTAGTCTAAGAGTGACATGGATCCCCTTACACTCCTTGCATCTCAGACCTTCTGGGTTCAGTCTCCTTTCTGAAATAATGTTCACTACCCTCTCCCCTGAAGCAGAGCCCAGACTGAGCAGAAAATTTTCTTATCCTCTCAGTGAAAAGATTTTTTCCACCGTACCTGGGAGTCGGCAAATTATGGCTTTAAGGCCAAATCTGACTTACCACCTGGTTTTGTAAATAAAGTTTTTTCTTTCTTTCTTTTTTTGAGACAGAGTCTTGCTCTGTGGCCCAGACTGGAGTGCAGTGGCATGATCTCGGCTCACTGCAACTTCTACTTCCTGGATTCAAGTGATTCTCCTGTCTCAGCCTCCTGAGTAGCTGGGATTACAGGCACATGCCATCACACCCGGCTAATTTTTGTATTTTTAGTAGAGATGGGGTTTCACTATGTTGGTCAGACTGGTCTCTAACTTCTGACCTCGTGATCCGCCTGCTTCGGCCTCCCAAAGTGCTGGGATTACATATTGTCTGTGGTGGCTTTCATGCGTGGTAAATTGAGTAGCTGTGACAGAAACCTTATGGCCCTCAAAGCCTTAACTTATTTCCTATCTGACCCATTACAGACAAAGATTGAGATTCCTGTCTTATTCTACCCTCTGTTTGAGAGTCCCTGCTTTCTGGAGGGGTTTCAGTTTTAACTTCCCATCTTCTGGGGGTCTGATTCTTGTCTTTGTCACCCGTGTGGTGGTTAAAGATCAAACCTCTTGGTTATTTCAACTCCTGGCTTTACCACTCTGGTTTTCAATTTCCTTATTTTTCTATTTTTTATTTTCTTGCCATTCGAAATGTCCTTTTTTGAAAACAGCAGAGTCTATGTAGTTTGCAACTAAAGAAAGGTGCTGTTTAACTCCTTAAACTGCTTGAGGTCAGGTTTAACCTTGTCCTTCATCTCAGCTCTTAGCCTGGTACCTGGCATGTAGTAGCCATAGAGGACCACAGCAGAATGGGAATTCAGGTATTTGATGCTGCCAGCTGTGCTGGTACTCATTTTCCCAACCCTCACAGCTCCACGTAGGCCTCTGGTTCAGCACTTGACTATGGCCTGTGGCTTGATCTCTTGGCCTGTGTGAGGCCTTGTGCCTCCTCTCCTTAGTCCTGAGGTATTGGGCTTGCCCCACCCTGTTCAGGTGGCCAGGTCTTATCTTGATGTGCACAGGAATGAGTACTGCAGGGAGGAGAGCAGGAATGTAGACTTCCTTTCCAGGAGGCCCTTTCTAAGCTGGACATGTGCTTTCTGTTCAGGCTCATAAACCTACCTGGAGGAAAAATGTGGACCGATAAGTGTCCTGACTCTGGATGTTTGCATTTCTTCCCTTTTGGGCAGGTGAATGGAAAGACAGATACATGAGAATGCATCCATTCACCAAGTAGACATGCAAAAAGTATTTCTTGAATTAAAATAAAAGAAGAAGATTCTTTAAGGATTGGTAGCATTGGTCTTCATTGTCTCTATTTATTATGCCTCAGGAGCCTGCTTCACTTTTAAGTAATCCCAATGTATGCCACAAATAAATATGTCTATGTTATCTGTGTATGTATTATTTCCCCTTCTATGTAAAAGGTTACTTTTCTTTATAAAAAGATTCACAATGAGATTTAAAAAAATTGTCAGTCCTTAAGAATTTACCTAAAAAAATTAAAAAAAAAAATTTACCTAAACTGCAAGAAGGATTTTGTGCTCCTAATCATCCTAGTGTCCATCAATCACACCCTGGTTTATAAGCGCTTGTTGTCTTTTCTTCAGTAATCCATAAGGCCCTTGAGGATAGAACCCTGTCTTCATCACCTTGTATTCTCAGTTCCTAGCTCAGTGTTTGGTACATTTTAGACACTCAGTAAATATTTGTTGAATTTAGTTGAATAAAACATTTATTTCATGTACAACTTGCTCAGGAGTAAATATGTTGTAAGGTACTTCCATATTTACATTCTAAAATCATTGCTAGCAGCTATACCTTAAATAATTTAAAAAGGAAGTTGAGACGTGCCAAAGAATTTACCTCCTTTTCTTCCTAAAATGCACATGCTTATATGCACACTTGCGTGTATATGCATGTACCACAAAAACCCCAAACCGTATTAGGAAAATCTAAAGACTTTTTTTTTTTTTAACTATAACATTTGTCTGATGGTGAGTTGTATTTTTAATTTTGGGGGATGTGTTGTTAGAGTCAGGTGAGGTCTGTGGATTAACAGACATGGAGAGTTCTGTTAGTTTCCTGTTTATTATTGACTACTTATGGCTTTTTGGGATCAGGGTAGGACATAAATACATCAAGATAATTAAATGTAATTTTTGTGATAGTAGGTGTTGTTTCTTTGTAAAATGGTTATAAAAAACTGATTACTCATTTTTAGATGTCTTTTTATCATAGTTCGAACTGTCACATCTTTAATTTGATTAGAAAAGTATTCATGAGCACTTGTGTGTCAGTGCAGCTCCAGATGCTGAGGACATAACACAGCTGAGAAACAAAACAAAGTCCCTGCCCTCAAGGAGCTTGTGTTTTACTGTATTTTTGTATGGGTGTGTATGTGTGTGGTGGGGTGGGGGTGGTATAGAAAAATATTTCAGGTATTGGTGAGTGCTAAGAAGAAAAACCAAATAGTATAAAAGGAATAGAGACCAAAAGTGTGTGTGATATTATAACACAAGGTGCCTGCTGACCCTGGAGCAGAGGCCTGCATGGAGGGAGGGAGCAGCGCTGCAGGTGTGGGGAAGAGCAAGCCAGGTATGCTGGAGAGTATTGGGAGGCTGTAGCCCTGTCAGTGTGGGGAATGGTGGGAGCAGAGACCAGAGAGGCAGAGAGGGGGACTGTATGAGGAATAAGGCCATGAGACAGGAGCCTCTGGAGCTCTGTGAGCCCAGGAGTGATCAATACCATCTGACTCATGTTTAGATGTGTCATCCTGGCTAGCTACCATGTGGCGAATGGTCTAGAGAGTGTGGTGACAAGGGACACCCATTGGGAGACCATCGTGGTTATCTAGGGGTGAGGTAATGGTGGTCTGGACCAGGGGGTAGGCAGTGGTTGAATTCTGGATTTTTTGGCATGAAGAAAGAAAATGAAGAGGGAAGGGTAACCCCCAACTAAAGCAGTATTCTGATTATGCTTTGATTTATTATTTGCTTTTTTCTTTTAATTCTTTAACAGAACCAAGATTAAGTGTAGCTCCTGAAATGGATATCATGGACTACTGCAAAAAAGAATGGAGGGGAAATACACAGAAAGCAACATGTATGAAAAAGGTATAACACAGATGCACATATTTCAGGTCTTTCAAATAGTCTGTCGTAAGTTGTTTAATATGTCATTCGATATTTTTAGACATTAGTTAAGATGACTGCTATAGACTTTATTATTGATGTTCTAATTTTAGAGATAAGGAAATAGACTCCAAAGAAAGGGCTTTAAGTCACAATATTAATATAGAATCAGCATCAGTTACTCAGTAACTTAATTTCTTTGAAAAACATCTGACTCTGCTGTTCAGATAGGGCCAGCCATTGGTTGTCCTCTTGGGGCCATTTGGGAATGCCCTGGTGTTGTAAAATAAAAGCCTCAGGGATACCTCAGGCCTATTCCACAGTCCTGCTTCGCACAGCACATTGGGTTTGCTTACACACCCGACAGTCCTGGGGCCTAGAACCTTCTTGCACTCCCTACACAGGAAAATCAGGAATTACTTCTGTCATTTAAGGTGTCCCAGGAGCTGCCCCCTCCCAATCTCATTGCATAGTTTGGTGACTTGAAGATAGTCCCAAAGCTGTCGGATGACATTGGGGACTCGTATGATGTGGTCCTGCTGTGGCTCTTTGGGCCGGTTCATTACTCAGCTCACACACCTGGCCAACATACACTATACAGCTGATCAAGCACCAGACCCTATGGTCTCGACCCTCAGATATACACCAGATCCAATATTATCAGTAGGATGAACCATGTGAATAGCTCAAAAACAGTCAAATAGCAGATTTAACCCAAGACTTCCATGACCTCCTGAAGCCTCTGGGTTTATCTTTTGCTCTGGGTTTTTCTCTTGGGATTATTTACATTATGAATTTGAATGCACTTTTAAATTAGAGATACTGACCATTATATTTAATAGAAATATTTTGAAAATTTTTTTATTAGGATTTTAAAGTTTTAAATTTTTGAATATTTAGTCTTTTCCTTAGAGCTCTTTTTTATAGAAATTATTGCTCATTTTTCAGCATGTACCTCAATTGCCCATGGGCTGACCTTAGTGAAAATCTAGCTGCCATTTATAAAGCTCTGAGAGCAGATGATAGCTCTCTGCAAATCCGATATGTAGATGCTTTGTGTTTTTAGGCACTTGTTAGAGAACTCAATTATGAAACACCTGGGACTCTTAGTTCCTGCCAGAGGTTAAGAACATTTATATTTTTGCTGACTATGCTATTGGTCACTTGCAGATTTTCCAACCTCTAGCCCTATATCATCAGGACCCGTGGCAGTAATTAGATCATCTCAGATGCCTGAAAACAGCTTTCACCTCCGTTCTATTTTAGTCCTTATTTGTGTAATTGTCTATTTTTGTTTTGAATATTCTTTAGAAGGTAAGTTTATACAAAGCCAGATTTAATTTTATTCTGATATAGCATGAGTAATTTATGCATTTGGAAAGGTACAATTGCAGTTGAATTTGCCATCATAAGTATTCTGGGGTAATTGAGGTTTACCGTAAGCAAGAAGTGCATAATTATTAGTAGGTGCGATTCTGCCTGATGGAACCTTATGTGTCGCAGTGGTTGGACCACTGAATAAAAATGCAACTCTCAAAATGTTATTATTGGGGAAAAAAGTACTTTTATATTCACTTAAAACATTATCCTATGACTTGAACCTTGAAAACAGCTAATGATGAGGTTCTAGTACCTGGACACCCAGGACAGAGGTGGTCTGCATTACGCCCACTCCTTGATGCGGATGCCACTTCTTTCTTTATGTGAATGCAGGGTAGGAAGTGGGTCTTGAGTGACTGTCAAGGAAGAGTGGGATGAGTTAAGGGGCTGACTGGACTCAGGGCCAGGGAGGTGACAGGCACTTAAGTCAATCCCAAGGACTGTGCATGTGTCTAGCTGGAGAAGCCAGGCACGATGCATGCTGGGGGACCAGAGTCACTAGGATTTTATGGTGTCTTTACAGGGTACATTTCAGAATATTCCATTTGGATTGCTATTTTTGAGTGCCCAAGAATGTCACTGAACATTTTCATTTCCTTGTTTCACTTCCAGACTGAGTGAGAGTGACACTTCATTTCGCTTAAAAAAAGAAAAAAAGGCCGGGCATGGTGGCTCATGTCTGTAATCCCTGCACTTTGGGAGGCCGAGGCAGGTGGATCACCTGAGGTCAGGAGCTCGAGATCAGCCTGGCCAACATGATGAAACCCCGTCTCTACTAAAAATACAAAAAATTAGCTGGGTGTGGTGGTGCGTGCCTGTAATCCTAGCTACTCAGGAGACTGAGGTAGGAAAATTGCTTGAACCCAGGAGGTTGCAGTGAGCCAAGATTGTGCCACTGCACTCCAGCCTGGGGCAACAAGAGTTAAACTCCATCTCAAAAAAAAAAAAAGATAAAGAAAAAGAAAAGCCTAACAGAATTATTTTTCAGCCATCTCCTGGCATATAGACTTTTATATATACATGCACATACACACAGCACCCCACCCCTCACACTGCCTACTTTGTTTTTTAGAAACTTGAGGTTTTTCTGTATTTTCTTAATATGAAGATATAAACTTAGTTTGTCTCTCTTTTTTCTTGCCTTTTTGTTAAAGAGTTTAGGGTCACTTAAAACACAGATTAAACCCTTCAAAATGTTGGTTGTCAGTGAGTAAGTGTTAAAACAATTGCCTAGAAAGGGACATAAAGCTCCAACATTGGGCATCTTCCAAGTGATCCCAGGCCAAGTGTTTTCCACAGGAATGAATCTTTCTCTGCTATCGCAAGTCAGTAATGACCATTTTGAATTCTTTCATGCCTTTTCCCAGGGCTATGAGGAGGTTTCTCAGAAGTTCACCTCTATACGGCGAGTCCGTGGTGATAATTACTGTGCACTGAGGGCCACGCTGTTCCAGGCCATGAGCCAGGCTGCTGGGCTGCCACCCTGGCTGCAGGACCCAGAGCTCACGCTGGTACGCTGCTGCTGCAGGTTTGAGTCCAAAATGTTTCAAACAATTTTTGTGAGAAAACTTTCCCTTTCTGTCTGTGCTCCCTGCTAGTATCGTCTGTAGTATCACGTCAGCATTTGGGTTTGTTCAGTTTTGTGTGGCTGGGATGATTTCACATAGTAAAATGACCAAAAATAACTGATGTTTCCCAGAAGGGAAAAATGATAAAATTTATGTGAACAGTTCAGTTGAATTAGAGCACAGATGTTTGTAAAAAGCACTATTGTAAAAACAGTTAGATTTCAATTTTGGTGTTTATATTAAGTTGGCTGCATATTTTACTATTTGAGAACCTGCTAGGGATTTAGAATACACGTTTCTTTAGTTTTTAGCTATAATTCAATAAATTAGTACCTTTGGCAAAGTGTGAGAATTGGCTTAATAGGTGGCTGAATAGCAACACTAGAAGAGAGATGATTACTGTCCCATGGAGTGGGGCTTCCTGAGGAGCTGAGAATCAGCCTGTCCCAGGGACAGCCCTCTTTAGTGTTTAAATGTACCACATGGCAGACATGCCCTGGGAAGTCATGTGTCTGCATGTCCTGACATGCATAAAGTCACATAGTCGGGTGGGTGATAGTTTCAGGGTTATGGTCAGAAATGGTTGGTCAGAGATAGCAATATACCCATGTAACAAACCTGCACATGTACCTTCTGTATCTAAAATAAAAGTGGAATTAAAAAAAAAGAAAGAAATGACCACAGCCACCCAACGTTCAACAGTGGTGACCACCCTGCTCAGTTAGCAGCCATTAACATCAAAGCAAGACCCTCCACCAGCAGAAAGATGACAACTTGCTAAAGGCCCAGATGATCATTAGCTTTTTTTTTTAACCAACAAAATATTTTTAAATTAAAAAGAAATGACGGTATGACATTAACTGGAAGAAAATTGAAAGTCTTATGCTTAAATTAAAGAAATCCAAAACCTGGAAGTGCTAGCTGTGGGAGATTGGCCTTATAGCAATTTATGAAAAGAAGGGAAAAGATGATAGGATTTTAATTGATTGCAAGCCCACTGTGATCCTGCATGAAGTGTGATGGACAGCAATGATCACAAAGCGATAGCTAAATTTTATTTTTATTATTTTCATTTTTTTGATATTAAGCAAAAAGACCAACCTGGCTGCATTTTAAAAGGAATGATTCTAAGAATTAGGCAATGACAGCCCCACATTGAGTGACAGCCCCACCTTGAACTGGGCTGGTCAGAGCCCGTCTCCAGCTTGGTGCCTGTATCCTCCACAGATGGAAATGTGGCCAGGATGGTTCATCGCATTCTGGGAGCAGTTGAAGGAGCTGGGGTATTTTCCTAGAATAAAGAAGACTTTTAGAAGAACTTATTATTGGCTAAGCTAGAGGTGTTTTAGGTAGATGAGAGATCACATGTTCCAAAGGGCAAAACCAGGACTGATGGTTGGATGATATTGCCCATCTGTTCCACGATTATTTAATAAACCAGTATAAAATTGGCACACCTATACCAACTGTTAAAATGACATCTGGAGCCAAGTGTGGTGGTACCTGTAGTATTAGCTACTCAGGAGGCTGGGATGGGAGGATCACTTGAGTCAGGAGTTCAAGGCCAGCCTGGGGACCATAAGGAGATCCCTTAATGTTGAGGAGCCTATTAAAAAAAAACAAAACCAGCATCTGGGAAATATATTTTCTCCCGTGCAAAGATGTATGCCATCTTAAACAGATATTTTAGTATTAGCTTATTTCTTTCATATAGAGACAAGAGAAATGGATATACTAGGCTGTTTTTTCTTTTGTAAATGATGACATTAATTAGTAAAATATCTCAGAATTGTTTGTCAGTTGGCAAAAGCATTCCTATGATTGAATATAAGACCCAGCTAGAGAAGCAAACAATGATTTCACTGTTTTTGCTTTGCTTTGTTTTAACTTCTGTGCTTGACAACTGTAGCTAAATATGTCACAATTTCTAGATTGTGGTGGCGTGTGCCTATAGTCTTAGGTACTCAGGAGGCTGTGCCTGACAACTGTAGCTATATTATATTAATCTACAAATCTATATTTCTAGATTGTGACTAATATCCTCTTCAATTTTAGGCAAAGTTTTCCTTTTGAGGCTTTGCCTTTAAGGAACCGTTTAGATTTATGGACTTACTTGACACTAAATTTGCATTTTTATACTTTCTGAGCATCTGGTATAAACAGTGTCCTAAGTAATTAATTAAGCATATAAAATTGCTTGAAAAAAGTAAAGTACAATGTCCCCCCGCCCTTTTTTTTTTTTTTTTTTTTTTGCTAGCAAGTTGTATTTGAATAACATCTGCCATATTAAAAATAGTCTGGGTAGATTACATTCAAACTCTTATCACTGTTAGAGTACGTTGTATGAGTGAGTGGTGGGGTTTTAAGGTGGTTTTTCTGACTTAATTTGAGTACTGTGAAAATAGTTAAAAAATTCTTAAGTGTTATTTTCAGTTTCTTTTCTATGTGTATCAGCTATTACATTTTTCTGGGAGCATAATTTAATTACTTGGTCCCTGTGGTTTGGTTTTTGTTACCTAGTTTTTGTTGAATGCCAGGAGGTGTCTGTCAAAGAGAGAAAACACAGTGTACCTGTGTGTGGGTTTGGTATTTATGTTTATTAAACTTTGGGTCTAAATGTCAGCTGAAGAATGACTTTGTTCTTTCCTTGCTCTCGTGCAGCTAAAGGACTTGTCCTTGTTTTGCTGTTCCAGCCCTTAGCAATTTAACATAGTTTGAAAACTTCCTTCACCCAGTTCATTTTGTGGTATCATGTCTGAGACATGATTGGATGACAAATTCAAATTCAGCTCATGCTTTGTGTCTGAGGGGCCAGTGAAGGAAGGAAAGAACCCATGAGCTTAGTCTGGTTGTGCAAATCTCTCAGGTGTCCTGCAGGTCCTCCTGTGGATACCTTATTAGCCAGATCGTGTCCTCCATCACTGCTTCCCTGAGATTTGATGGAGCCCTAAATGTTGACCTGACAGAATTCCAGACCAACCTGGTGCCCTATCCTCACATCCACTTCCCTCTGGCCACATATGCCCCTGTCATCTCTGCTGAGAAAGCCTACCATGAACAGCTTTCTGTAGCAGAGATCACCAATGCTTGCTTTGAGCCAGCCAACCAGATGGCGAAATGTGACCCTTGCCATGGTAAATACCTGGCTTGCTGCCTGTTGTACCGTGGTGACGTGGTTCCCAAAGATGTCAATGCTGCCATCGCCACCATCAAGACCAAGCGCAGCATCCAGTTTGTGGATTGGTGCCCCCCTGGCTTCAAGGTTGGCATCAACTACCAGCCTACCACTGAGGTGCCTGGTGGAGACCTGGCCAAGGTACAGAGAGCTGTGTGCATGCTAAGCAACACCACAGCCATTGCTGAGGCCTGGGCTCGCCTGGACCACAAGTTTGACCTGATGTATGCCAAGCGTGCCTTTGTTCACTGGTACGTGGGTGAGGGGATGGAGGAAGGAGAGTTTTCAGAGGCCCGTGAGGACATGGCTGCCCTTGAGAAGGATTATGAGGAGGTTGGTGTGGATTCTGTTGAAGGAGAGGGTGAAGAAGAAGGCGAGGAATACTAATTATCCATTCCTTTTGGCCCTGCGGCATGTCATGCTCCCAGAATTTCAGCTTCAACTTAGCTGACAGGCATTAAAGCTTTCTGGTTAGATTGTTTTCACTCAGTTACCATGTCTTTTCCATGTGTACCTGTAGTTTTTCCATCATGTCTCAAAGTAGTCATTAACTTAAAAAAAAAAAAAAAAATCCTGTTCTCACTTTGCCCCTCATGCCCCACCCTTCCCTTGGAAGGTCCACTGTGACAAGGGCTTTGTTGAGCGAGTTAAGTGTTTCTTGCAGTGTGACTGAAGGAAATCAGGGTGGAAACTTTAGCTAGCTTTATCTGCTGCTTTTTGCAGATTGAGAGATGTTCTCTGTGGCATTTTGCTGTCTTCTCTGTCTTTTAGAACATCATTTGGTTTTAGGGTATTAAAGGTAACTGGAAAAGCTGGAGTGAGTGACTCTTCCCTTAATCTGTGCTCAGTGAAGGGGACCCGGGCTTCCTTTCTGCTGGTGCCCAGCTTTGCTGGCTTGCTCTGTTCCCTGCCTGTGAGGCGGAGCTTTGTCCTTATTGCCGCTCTGACAGTTTGGCTGCCCCTCACCTCCTGTCATCCTGCCTGGGCTTCCTGTTTGTTGTTCCTATTTCTGTCCAGATCCCAGTCTCTGTGTTTGGCTGCAGCCAGATCATCTGACCTTCACTCCAACTATGGAGATGGCTTAGCCTGGCTAAAAAATGTGAGACAACACTTTGGTTCCTGAGAGGAACCAAAAAAATCAGATTTTTTTGTGAGTTAGTTTTAGGAATGACAAATTTTTTTTAATAGCTGTCGTGGTATCAAGAATTACAGGCATTTACTAGAGGCTGTCTTATAGTTCAGTCACAAACGAAATGACACCTAAGCTAATTAATTACCTACTTTATTCTTGAATATTTCCAATCACTGTTTCTTATTTAAATCTGTTTTTTTGCTTAACTTTTCTTCATTTTAATGAAAGTCCAGTTTTCCAGTTTGTGCTTAGCGGAAAATGAAGGCTATTCACATGTGTTCCATGTGCTGTGACCTTTGAAAGCATTTAAAGTTGTATTCACTTTTTTCCTCTGAATAAATTTGACTTCATTCCTTTCTGCTGGCTTCTTTTTTTCATGCTTGGTTTTTTAAAATTGTCTTAAGGATTTCTGCATTTCCTGGAAGCATACAACCCTGAATTGTTTGACCTATGTGTGAAAGGAATAAGAAATAATTGTTTCTCTCTGTGTAGTGAGGTCTTCAGGGTCTCCTGAGTAATTCAGTTGAGTACTGCACCTACTTTTTAGATAACTGTATACTGTCTCCAGATGCTCAGCTGGTCTTCTGGGCTTCCCTTCACCTCCTTTCCCACCTCACATCTGTGTAGCCAGTATTTTCTGCTCATTTGTAGTTCTTTGTAACCAGTTGTAATTTTAGCTTGTTGCCACTTGAGGGCACGTGAGGTTCTTGTGATAAATCTGAGAGACCAAACTCAGGGTTTTGCTGCAGCTGCCACATGTTGCTGAAACGCAGGGCAGTGTGGGTACGGAGTGGGCTGGTGCAGCTCTTAGATGGGTGGTCATTTGTTACTCTAATAAGATGAAGAGGAGAAGGCCCCCCCCACCTTAGTGAGTGATATAATTCACCATCACTGTGATCACAGTGAAAAGTAATTTACATTCCAGTTGTGGTTCTACGTTTTGTAGAAACCACCTTAGTTTCACATGATTGCTATAGGTTGAGAAGTTGCAACCAGAATTACTGTTCATGAAAGGGTCTTTTAGTCTTACATTAGAATGTAAGACTAATGGAATGGAAGATACAGCTTCATTTAAAACTGTTTTTTATTTTATGTGTTTATTTTTATTTGTTTCTTTCTTGCTATATAAAGTTTTTTTTTTTTTAAGAGATAAGAGTCTTGCTCTGTTGCTCAGGCTAAAGTACAATGGTGCAGTCATAACTAACTGTAACCTCAAACTCCTGGGCTCAAGTGATCTTCCTGCCCCAGCCTCCTGAGTAGCTGGGAATACGAGCACATGCCACTGTGCCCAGGGAATTAAAAAAAATTTTTTTTATAGCTATGGGGTCTTGCTATGTTGCCTGGATTGGCAAAACTGTATTAAAAACTGCTAAACAAGGTCAGGTTCCTCATAGGAATTGTAGGATTTAATTGTTCTTTAATGATCTGTTGAACTTTTTTTCCTTTGTAAATTTTATAGCAGTGAAGTGATACACCTATGCCCAGCCCAATTCTATGATTTTTCTCCTGACACACCAGGACTGTTGGAAGAGTCTCACTTCCTATGCTGTCATCAGTCAGATTGGGTCTCAACTTGCCTTTCAAATGCAGCTTCTGCTGATAACTAGAGGGAAACAAAATAACAGATACTCAAAGAATAAAAAAAGGGAAACCAGCATTGTAGGAGTTCAGCTGTCATTTCTTTCCTGAACTAAGTGATCACAGCTCCCTTAACTCCTGCCTCTGATTTTCAGTTGTATGTTTTATCTTAATATATCAATTAGACAGTTAAATTAGACATAATATAATTTCTCTGAATGTTAAAACTTTGAGTATATGTGTTAACATTATTTAACAAAAAGGTCTTTTTCTACCTTTCTTGGGTAGATTCTTTTAAGTACCAGAAACTAGATTTTATTTTTCTTACTGGGTAAGGAGCAAATTTGACTTCATCCTGGACCTTCTCACATGCTCAGAAGCACTGTCCTGAGCCATGTGTAGGTGGTGGTTGAGAGGCTGCATTGAGCCCTGAGCCTGAAGGTGGTGGTGTGAGGACGTGCTGTGGGCATGGCCTTAGCTCATCTGTACAACTGCTGTGGAATGTCCTGGCCATGGTTGGAGTCCTGCAAGGCAGACTGTGCTTTGGCATCTCAACCAAAAGCACCATTTCACTCCAGCAGCCCTCCTCAATGTGGTACTTTCTAAGTTCCTGACTTGTAGATTTAGGTCCTCCATCCTAAACCCGCATGACAGATTTGCAGGATTAATTCTGGAAACAAAGGTAGGTTTCATAGACTTTGTGGTTTCTTATAGCTTAGAGCATGTGGTGGATTTCTTGGAATGTTAACACCTCTTTATCTCTTTGTTTCTTGGTGTTCTAGTTACCAGAAAAACTTATAAGCAAATACAACTGGATCAGGCAATGGAAACTTGGACTGAAATTTGATGGGAAGAACGAGGACCTGGTTGATAAAATTAAAGAGTCCCTTACTCTGCTGAGGAAGAAGGTTTGGAACCTGTAGTGTCCTGTCTGATTAGAGTGAAGCTCTCATTCCTGCTTGCCTTGGAAGACCGGTTTTGGTCTTCACTCAGTGGATTTTCAAATGCTCTTGGCTGATTTTTAGGCAAAATGGTTTTAAATGAACTCAAACTCTTCCCACGAGGGCTTTGGTAAAATGGGAAGTACCAACATTATATATTCTTAGAGCAGATGCCAGGTACTAGGCATCAAATAATGAAGTATTTAACTTTCTTAAAAGGAAATCTTAACAAATATAGTCTCTGTTCCAAGTCATATTTATGTTTCAAGAATATAATTTGGTTTCTATTTCCTATACTAATATCAGTCATAGTAATTCACATTTATTGAATTGTTTCCTATTCTTGTGTTTTAAGATTCTACCCATATTTATCAGACTTATTTTCTTCCTCAATGATTTTCCAGTTAGTAGATTTAGTAACTTGTCTTTAGAAAACTATCCTGAGATTTCTTTCTGAAAAAGAATTGTAGGGAGAACTTGGTCTGCTGATTCCTATTGATTTGGTGTTTAAAATTCTACCTTTCTGTGGCTTTCCACTGTCTCCTCTGGGTGGGATGTCCTGCCTGCACACTGGCTTACATGACCCCTAGCTTGCTTGCATTGAGCAGCTTGGAGCCCTTTTCACCAAGAACCCTGAGTTGAGAGCCTGTCAATTACACCAGGCTGTCAGTGGAGAGCAGTCAGGTAGAGAGGGGGTCAAACATAGACTTTCAAGGCCCTTCATAGCATGCACTTCAGGTACTTCAGGCAGTGATTTCTTTACTCACATATGGTCTGCTGCTCCCATTGGACTTTTAGCTCCATGAGAGACTGTCCTGTGCATTCCTTGACTCCCTGTGCCTAGCAGCAGACCTGGCACAGGTGTTCATTCAGTGCTTTACTGAATTAGTGAACTGAGGGCCCTGACTTCTTGGAACCTAGGTTTTGCTTACAAAGATAAGAAATGCTTACTGAAAATAAACTGTCAAAGGAAGTTCAGTAGTTTTATCTTTTTTCTACTATAAGGAAATGGGAGCAAGAGAAGGGAAGAGGGGAATTCCATTCTTGTTACCTGTTAGATTAGAACGCAGAATTTTGTGTTCCCCAGTCCTTGGGTTAGTGGAGGGTTGAGGCCAGGGCTCTAGCCCTGTGGGAGTGAATGAGATGAGAGGGTTCTTCAGCACAACCACAGGTGTCACATTTTTTTTTCATTTTTTTAAGGTCTTGTGAAATTGCTATTTCCGCTTTGTTAGGTGTTTCTATTATAATAGACCCTCATATTTGGGAATGCTTGAGTGATGCCAATTTATACTAAGATTAAAATTGCTCATTAATAATCTGAGCCAGCATTACTAACACTTCTATGTTAGGCTCCACACTAAAATTTCAAGTGTTGTTTAATTCTCACAACTATGAAGGTGCTGTTGCTGTACATCCCTGTTTTTTAGATGAGGAAACTAAGGCCAGGAGCTCAGTTAAATGCCCTGCAAAAGCCACCAGCTGCTCTGTGGTGAAGCCCTGATTCTATCCTGACTGACTCTAGAGCCATGTCTGTGACTGTCAGCTTGGTCTAGTCTGGAAAATATGAGATAAAGACAAACATGTTCCAGCTTTCTGCCCAAATATTACAGAGAATTCTATGCGGTCATTACCATTAAAATTCACTCTCAGATTTAAATTCCATAATGGCATTTGAGAGGGGCACTGGTTATTGTTTATTCATAGGGAATGGCATTTATGTTGGCATCTCTTATTCTCATTCGCTGTAACTTAAAAGCACATATATTTATAGGTTTTCTTTTTTAAAGAGTTTGCCTATATTCACATTACTTTATTCTTAATCAGGAGTCAGTAAGAGTTTCCTGAATGGATTTATTCATTTGAAGTTCATATATATTTTTGAAGTTAGAAGGATAAGTTTAGTAAATTAATATTCAGGAGCCCCTACACTCTTCCTTAGCTCTCTTCCATTTTGGAGGGTTGGCTTTGTGTTTCTGGTGTTAACTCTCCTGTAAGCCCCTTGTAATTGTAGCTGCGCTTCACAGCTTTACATACAGGCCTCACACACGCGTATTAGCTCTTCCATAAGTATCTCTGAAGGCTCAGAGATACTTCAGTCTCATTGCCTGTGAAGTTAAGGGAGTCAAAATTCCCATGGCCTCAGTGCTTCTTCCTCTCTTGTATTTTTCTTTCAAATTAATGGGAGAAAAAGCTGAATAAGGAGTTTGTGTGGTATAAAGTGTACCGTTTTAAATCTGGAAACCTGAATGTTGTAAGCACTGGTAAATGACCCATGGTTGCCTTTTAAAAATAATTTTGTGCTCAATTTATACCAGGGATTTTTAGAACAAAAAATTGTAATTATTACATAACTTTCTTATTGTAGTGGGCAGGCTTGGCTGACATGAGAACTGCTGAAACAAGACAGATAGCTTGTGATGAACTATTCACAAATGAAGAGGAAGAATATAGCCTCTATGAAGCTGTAAAATTTCTAATGCTAAACAGAGCCATTGAACTATATAATGATAAAGAGAAAGGAAAGGAAGTACCATTTTTCTCTGTGCTTCTGTTTGCTCGGGACACATCGAATGACCCAGGACAGCTGCTGAGGAACCACCTAAACCAGGTGGGACACACTGGTGGTCTTGAACAGGTGAGTTGTGCTTTTGAGCATGTACTACCCCAAAATATAGCAGCTTTACTGATCAAACTTGATGTCACAGTTTTTATAGGTCAGAAATTCAGGGATGGTTCTGGCTCAGGATCTCATGAGGTTGCAGTTGTATGTTCAGGGCTACAGTCATCTGAAGGCTTGACTGGGGCTGGAGGATCTTCTTCCAATGTTGTTCATTCATGTGGCTGTGGGCAGGACGCTTCAGTTCCGTACTGGTAGTTAGTAGGAGGGTTCAGTTCCTCTCACATAGGCCTCCAGAGGGCTGCTTGAGTGTCCTTACAACATGGCAGCTGGCTTCTCAGAGTGATCTAAGCAGAGAGCAAGAAAGAAGCCACAATGCCTTTTATGCCCTATTCCAGGAAGTCACACACTGCTACACTGTATTCTACCTTTTAGAAACAAGTTACTTAATGCATTCCACTCTCAAGAAGAGGGAAATTTGGTTCCACTGTTTCGAGTGAGGAGTACCAAAGAATTGTGGAATGTAATTTTTAGTCACCACTGTTATCTTGACCTGGGCTTTATGATTCAAGGGTGGTGAATGGGATTTGTACTGTTGGCTCTGGGAGGTTACAAATAAACGAAGTTCTTGGAAGAACCGTTGAAGGGTCTTGTTTAATCTTGGCAGCTGTAGCTGCATTAAAAAGAGAAATGTAGTCACCTTAGCCAGTAGAGTCCAGCCTGCTCTTGGATCTTTTACAGATATGTAAAATGTGGAGTTTTACACAGAAACTGAGTGCAGTACCATCTCTAAAGCCAATATAGTTGAGTCACCACACCTTGTGCTATCTGTGCTATCGTTGATGTGCTCATTTCCCTAAAAAGTCTTAATGAGGCTTTTTTTCAGTGGAATAGCCAACTGCTAAAGTAGCATTAAGCTGTTCATCAAAGTGCCACCCTCCTACTTGCATAATTGACTCCTGTGCCTGCTTTTTCTAAAATGTCCCAAGTGCCAGGACAGATAACTGCAAGGATTAGAGAGCTGAGTTAGGTTCTGTTCTGAGCTGCCCTGGAATGTGAAGTCTCTTCTGTTATTCCCAGGTGTGTAGGAAGGAGTGGAGACTAACGGTCACTGCTGGGTCAGGCAGGACTGATGATGGTTATTTTGAAAAATTATCTGTAGTCATAATGTGGTACTTACATCTCAAACCATAGCAAGTATGGTGCAATAAAAATGCTTGTAGAGGATGGTTTGTATATTAGATTAAAGTTAGTCTTTTCTGAGACCCTGTAAAGTCCGCTGTGATGGTAAGTACATTCTTTTTTGTTTTTTAATAAGAAATTTTAAATTTCTTTTTTGAGATATAATTACATATACCACAAAGTTTACTTTTTAAAAAAGTTTTGCAACCATCATTACAGTCTAATTTTAGACCATTTGTCACCCCAGAAAGAAACATACCCATTAGTAATCACTTTCTCTTTACTCTAACCCTAGGCAGCCACTAATCTACTTTCTGTCTCAATGGAGTTGCCTATTCTGGACATTTCATATGAATGGAATAATATGAATTAGGTCTTTTGTTTATGGCTTATTTGATTTAGCATACTGTTTGTTAAGATTTTATCCATATTGCGCCATGTATTAGTACGTTACTCCTTTTAATTGATAAGTAATATCCTATTGTATGGATGGATCACATTTTACTCATCTGTTCATCAGTTTGATGGGTATTTGGATTGTTTCTACTTTTTAGTTCTGTGAATAACCTTAATAACCCTGCTGTGAACATACATGTATAATTTTTTTATGTGAACATGTTTTCAGTTCTCTTGGGTATACACCTAGGAGTGGAATTGCTGGGTCATATGATAATTCTTTAACATTTTGAGGAACTGCCAAACTGTTTGCAAAGCCGCTGTATCATTTTACATCCCCACCAGCAATGTAGCAGTGTCCCATTTACCATATCTCCACCAACACTTCTGTTTTTTTTTTTAATTGGGGTGAAGTTCATATAACATAAAATTAACCATTTTAAAATATATCTCATTGACATTTAGTACACTGACAGTGACCACCACCTATATGAAGTCCTAAAACATGTCATCCCCAAAGAAAATCCTGTACTCATGAAGCAGTCACTCTCCATTATCATCTTTTTGGTTATAATCATTCTAGTGGGTGTGAAGTACTGTCTTTTGTTGTAGTTTGGATTTGCATTTCTCTAATGACTTACAGTGTTGAGCATATTGTCATGTGCTTTGTTGGTCAGTTGTATATCTTCTTCGGAGAGAGGTGTCTGTTCAGATCTTCTGCTTAATTTTTAAGCTGGTTATTTGTTTTTTTGTTTTGTTAATTGTTGTGAGAGTTCTTTATCCTGGATACAGGTCCCTTAACAGACATATAATTCATTCTTGGTTATCTGCCCTTTTCTTTTAAATAGAAAAGGATTGGGGCTGTGCCCATAGGGGGAGGAAAAAAAGGCTGTGGCTTCACCTTTGCTGTGCGTTGTGGGATAATGGATGGAACATGGCGTTAAGCCACATCTATCTTCCTCAGAATACCCGTTTGCTCTTTTCTTCCCAGGTTGAAATGTTCCTTCTTGCCTATGCTGTGCGCCACACAATCCAGGTGTACCGGCTCTCCAAGTACAACACGGAGGAGTTCATCACAGTCTACCCTACTGACCCACCCAAGGACTGGCCAGTGGTAACGCTTATTGCTGAGGACGATCGGCACTATAACATCCCCGTCAGAGTGTGTGAGGAGACCAGTCTGTGAGAGACGCATGCTCCTGACAGCCTGGTGATGTGGCTAAGATGCACAGGTGGCTCCTGGGCTTGGGCTGCAGGCCTGAGAGGTCTCTAAGAACAATCTCTGAGAACCCTTGGGCCCCTGGGAGCCACGTTGGACAGGATGTCCTGAAGATTAGCTTTTGATAAGAGAAATTAACCAAGTCTTTCCCCTCATCTATGATGCAATATATTTCATTGGGGGCCTTCAGAGCACACCTGTTGTACAGTGCAAACTATATCTTTTCCAGAAGGCAAATAGTTTTGTATCAGAGGAAACTAAGTTTTGGAGAGGAATATGTTCTTTATATCTCAAATCAAAACTCTCTCTAATAGTACACTGGCTTCTAACGTTTTTAAGACAGTATTTTTCCCCTTTCTAGTAGTAATGGTTTTCTGTAGATCTCCCTATACAGTCTGCTTTTACTCAGGACCTTCAGATTATGAGATGGATGTGCTGCCCACTGCACTAAGGGGGCCTCTAACAGTCTGCTTTAAGTGGTATAATTCTGAGATGGATCTGTTGCTGGCATAGTCATGACAACCTCTGGTAATCTCATCTTCTTATGAAGGGAAGAGCAGTGGTTTAGACTTACATCTTAATTAAGGCTATTTTAAGCAGATTGTCTTGCAGCAGACTAAGAATTGGGTCCAAAAGTGGGTTATTTCAAGGCATTTTTGAAGACTGGAGGAGCCATAGGAGGGAGTGGTGAGGGAACCTAGAACTTCTTCCTCCTTGTGATTGTGACAGGTGTCTGATGCCTCCAGCGCACTGGAGTCCAGGCTTGGTGCAGGTGGTGCCCCATCAGTGTGGACAGACACTACTTGCCTTTGTGCTTTAGTGTTGGAAGCTTTAATTATTCTTCAGTTCCATGGATTCATGATTTTATAGCCAGATTCTATACACCTGTTTTCAAAGGAGGAAACCGAGGCCAAATTACTTTGAGGTGGGGCTGAGTTGGACCCGGGTTTTCCTGTGCTCTTTTCATGCTGTGTTGGAGGGTGTGTCCATTGCCAGATCTGTGTAACCCATCTGGGGCAGGGGATGAGTGACAGCAAACCATCTAAGATTTTTCATGAGTACATTTAAGCAGAAGCATGTAGGAATATGAGTGCAAAAGTGTGGCTGAGCCGCCTATGCCCTTGATTGGTTTTGGGAAGCCTGAGGGAGGCAGCCTTCCTGGCTATGAACCATCATCTGCCCAGTCAGGCTAAGGGTGGTGACTGGGGTGGTGAAGGGGCAACTCTGCTGAGCATGGTCTGCCTTATGGCCTGAATTGGCCTCAGGGGGTGTGGACTACAGATGGTGTTCACATGAACCAGAGACAATAGGATTCTACTGGCAGCCCCTGAATTGGCTCAACATTTGTGGAGGTGGTGTTTCCCTGAAGTACTGAGCTTTGTTTTATGATAATTAAAATCTTTATTTGGTCCTATTTAATATAGTTTAGAAGCAATTCTTTTTGAGGCAAACTTTTTTTGAAAATGTAAATTTTGTTAATTAAAGAAACAATTTTGTAATTCAGTTTCTTTAGTTGAGAAAACTCAGGATGCACAAAACTATTCAGACTGTTATTTTAGCATTCTCCCATTACCTCATCAGTAATATTCACCACATTTTGCTAAATGTTTATTGATTAGAGTGTTGAAATCAAATTCTGCTCTGAATGTATATGAATACATTGGAGAGGCTTTGTGTTTTTCACTGTGAAATGCAATTGTGCCTTGAATAAGAAGGTACCTAGAAGCCAAATTAAAGTAATAATGACTTCTTATTGGCTTTGATTTTTCATTGTAGTATATGGGATTGCACAACAGGAAATGCTTACTATTCATTTCTGATACTTTTTAAGGCACAACTGGAAACATTTATATCGTATATGCATAGCAGCAGGGATCTGTGCCCTTCAGGTACATTAAATCTGACCATTAGTTTATATATGTCATTGAATTTTAATAATACTCATGTTAATAATAGTTGCCTATCCTTGCATTTTGAAAATGTTCTCAACTCAGTGAACTTCAATTGGATTTCTGGGCAAAAAGATGTGTTTCTTTTATGTTGCTTTCTGTCTGACGCCCTTGTCAGAATCTATGAGACTCTTGTTTAGGTTTAGTGGGATCATGGCATCAGAGAAGCAAAGCTTTCAAAGAAATAGTACTTCAGGGAATAGAAATGATTGATCAACTTTAAAAATAAAAATTTTTTATTGCAACTTCAGTTGCCCAGAATCTTAGTTCCATTTCTCATTCTTGGTATTGAGCTGGTCAGATGACATCAGCAGATTAGAAGTTAAATGGAGATCAGATGAATTCAGTAGGATATTCCACTTAGAGCAAAATGTTTATTTATCTTTTATCATTTATCTTCAAAATGATTAAGTGTTCTAGAATAAAGGAATGTAGTAGGAACTATGCTATGCTTAACTTTCTATCCCAGAATTTCTTGCAAGAGTTTAGGAGTTTTGGACCCTCTGTATTGGCAGAAAAGTTATCTCCATCTTAAGGAGGCATGACTTTTACACCTGTGAGCTCATGTAAGGTGAATTTAAACATAAAATAATTTCCCTGCATTACGCTTCATGGAATTAACATTGCTTTTCCAGAACATTTTCAGATTCCTTTCCTTACATCCTGAGCTCCTTGTGCATATACATCTGTTGCTCATCCACAAGGAACAGTGATGGTCACACTGGAGAACAAGAAGCCAGTAATACATGGTCTCTAACTGATGATTTAGGCCTGGATTTGATTGAAAGTGTTTGCAGTTCTTCTTCCTTAGAATACAGAGTGTATGAAAATGTTTTCAATGCACAGAACAGGATGAATCCTTTTTTCTTTATATAGCCATTTATACTTTTCTTACTCTATTTTCAGTTAGTGTCTGATAAGATTTTCTTTGTTTAAGGAGGACAGGCATTGCCTTGGTATCTTTTTTTTTCCCCTCCACTTTTGGAGCTTACAGGTAAAATCTCAAGCCACCTGAATTGGTAACACCTCTGTTGGGAAAAGCATTTGTGAGTTTTTATGTACTTGGTCTTTGTTGTTATTCATCATGTCCTCCCTCTCTCCACAATGTGCTATTTTACTTAAGAGTTAGTCTACTTTCTGAAGATCTTCAAGAGAGAGGCTGTGAAGTGCTGTATCACTTTTAATGATACAACACTCCTACCATCTCGGTGTTTACATAGGACTTACATAGACATCTTGGCTGTGTCTTTTTTTGGATACTAAAGTACAGTTGGATCATTTTCTTACCTCTTTTTCTTAAGCAGTACTTTGTAGGTACTCCCCTTTAAAAGTCAGAAGCATAAACCATGTTTGTTTAAGCATTCTGAATGTTTTTTAATAGCATTCAGTGGCATTAATGGAGGAGGACGCTGTGTTTTCTCAATTAATCTCATTGATTTGTTTGGTATAAGTTCGGATCAGAAATGAAACTGCCAAAACATGGGTCAGTACAAGGAAGGGACACAGTGCTTAAAATGTCCAGTCTTGACAGTGGACTTGGCAGTTCTCCTAGTAAGCAGAAATGCTTGAGCCTAATTCTGAACTTCAAAATCATATTTTATACTTAATTTTAGGAGCTTTCATTTACATATTGAAAAATGCCTTGACTGTTTTCACATAAATGGTGCTAAAACGTTGTACCCCTTATAAGAATCATAGCAATCCACAGCAACGTTGGTTACTTCTGAATAATTTGATAAGGGAACAAAGTCAAAATGAATGTATTTAATAAGCTTTCTCATTTCCATTGATTTTATAAAAGTATGTTGGTATTGTTGCCTGCATTTTAGCACCTTCTAACTTTTTGTATTATGAATTCGGAGAGGATAACAACCCAATTTTAGAACCTCTGCCAGTGGTGATGGTGTTTTTCTTCTGTGTGTAAGCCATTGTGAATGGAGACCAGCAGAGCAGCACACTGTGTGAACCTGGCAGTGTTCATCTTGGCTTGTTTAGCAGCATCTCCTCTGTTTACACCATAAGATGTTCAGCATGTGTCAGAAATTTCGCCTGCTCTGAAAAACATGCCCCTGGGGCTCTGGGCAGTTTGGGACCTTGGTTCCCACCTGCAAATGCGGTCAGATGCCTGGCTCCTGGGGCAGAGTTTCCTCTGTTACTTGTTGAGGTTCTTGTCTTCCCTGTCAGAAACTGAACCAACTTGGGGGCTTTGCTGTTGATTCACTTTAGCAAACCCTGCTGCTGAGGACTGTAAAAATAAATAACTAAAAATAAACTTAGAAAATACAACTCAGAAGCCTAGCTGTGTCGCTGTGGTCAAATGCTTGCCTTTGAGGACTTTGGCAGATTGTGGTATTGCAGTCGGCTTTAACTTTCTGGCACTGGCAAGGCAGACCTATGATGTCCACATGGCTGATTCTTGGCCCCTGCCCATTGTTAGCAGAGGAATCAGGAGTTTGGGGAGGCAGTATTGGGCAGTGCTGAGAGTTAGATGAGATGAAGCAGTTAGCACAGTGCTTAGGCCATACTAAGTGCCCCTAACCTTACCAACCAAATTAGGTGCATAGTTACCAGCTTGGGTCTGGATTCAGCAGCATTTCCACTGCCCACTAAAAGGGTGAGCTTGGGCACTTCCTGAACCTCCCTAAATCCTGTTTCTTCATCTTTACCATACACAGTCTGTCTTGGTGGTGGTGTGGATTAAGTGAGATGCTAGCACTTACTGGGGAAGATCCCCCAGACGTGCAAAACAGGGCCACAGCCCCAGTTCTGACCCAGCCTTGCTGTGTGTTTGCTGCGAAGAGGTCTGCTGTGTGCAGGGCATTTCTTTATGAACCATTTACACTGCTGGAAATGTACCCAGCAATGTGATAGCAAGAACTTCAACAAACTGCTTATGAATAGGCTGTCATTGAAAGAAGTTAATCATCTGAAGATGGGGGAAGACTGGACTTTCAGAGGCATCTTGGGGATAGAGAATGAAATTTGAGTCAGCAGAGATCTGCCTTCCTGTTTGTCAAAGAACTACTGCATCTGGGAGTCCTACAAAATGGATCTGGGCTTCTGAAGAACCACTGGGTAGGTATTGGGCATCCATTAGACAGCAGTGCTACATTGGTCATGTGCAGCAGAAAGACCTCCCCATGGTGAACAACAAACCACTTTTCTCCTCCACTGGCCCACTCATTTGGATTGATACACTTTTTCAGTGTCGGAAATGTACTTACTCCTTCTAGCTGTCTGAATTACGGTGCTCTGCTTAACTCTGTGGACAGTGTTTCTTGAATTTCCTTTTCCACCTCCTTTTCCCACTCAAGGAAGTGGAGAGAAAAACAGGGATGCAGGTTGTGGGTCTTATGGAAGCCCTTTACAACCATTAAATAAAGAACACCAGCTGCATTATTGTTTATATGGTATGTTCCTATTTACCACTTTGGTTTTGCCTGAAACCTGGGCATTCTTTCTGCAGTTTCTCTGAATTTTCTGCCTCACCTCCTCACTCCTGCCCTTGCCTTTTGTCTGGGCTTGGTTGCCTGTTCATGTTCTTTGCCTGTGACGTTAATCTTTCCCTAGTTGAGTGTGTGCTTGAAATGTCTTAGCAAGTTGTCCTCTTAGGTGGTACTGATACTGGGCCCTGGGGGAGGCTCAGCTCGCTCCCTGGTAGGAGGTGTACTTACAGGCTCTTGGTCTCTGTCACCCAAGAATGGGAGAGGGGACCATGCCGGACATGGTGAGCAATTAAGTAAATATGGGACCCCAAAGAATTTTGCAGAAAGTGATTTATTTAGGCAGAGAAAAAGAAAAAGATAAAAAATGAGAGAGAGAAGCTTCCACAATATTATGGAAGGGGATCCAGACATGGAGTCTGCCTGGATGTTGGGGACAGGGACATTAACCTGGGAGGAATTCCCGCCCCCTTCAGGTTTTCTGGGCCTATTAAGAGTTCCTTTAAACTTCTGCTGGAGTAATCGATTTCTTTGATTCTTTCCGACATGCGAGTGCCAAAGTTTAAACGAAGAAGACCTCTAACCCCCAGATGGAGACGGTGGGGTGGGAGGCATGGCACTGTGAAGTTCTTGCCTTTGAAACTATGCCCCCTTGTGGACCCGGGAAGAGACCTTTTATAGTCCTCTTATGTCGCCAAATTCCCTCAGTACCATTGATGTACAGTCCCATTGGAGAGCACAAGTATGTTTCCTTAGGCACTTCCAATACTGGCTTTATCAAACATTATGAGCTGGTTGTTGGAAGTCTGATTTGCATTTTTTTTTTTTTTTACTTGAGAAAGGCTGAGCATGTTTTCATTTTTGTAAATCATTTTCAGGTCCTTTCCTGGGAGCCATCTGTTCATGTCCTTTGTAGCCACTTTTAAGTTTTCTATCTGAATTTTACAGAAGAGACATAGATGTAGGGTGGAAGCAGCAGGAAGGGAAGGCAGACCAAGGGGTGTTAGGAATTCCATGTCGGGCCCTTTGGTTGCAAGTAAAAAGAACTCATGCAGAGTTTCTTAGTTCATAAAGGGTTTGGCCTTCTTCAGGGACAAGAAGAGAGCACTGAAGGGAGGGCTGTTGTGCTTGCATCCATTCACCAAAGAGTGCCAGCTTTGGGGCCAGGTAGGGTTCCAAGCTTGGGGGTGTAGGGGTAGCTGGCCGAGGCATAGCCCTCCACATCCTAACCCCCACCCCATGCCCTCCCTCTACAGCCCTCCCCATCCACATCCCCTGTGCCCAACCTCCCCATTCGCACTTCGCCCTGTGCCCACCCCCCCATTTGTACCTCCCCCGTGCCCACCCTCCCCAGCCCTCCCCTCTCTAGCCCTGCCTACCATTCACAGAGCTTTTGTGCATTTGTCACTGGTGAGCAGAACTGGCATGACTCCAGGGATGGAATCACAAAACAACTGTTTTTGTCTTTCGCTGTTTAAGATGTATTCAACCAGAGGCCTTCTCCTACCGCTGGTGAAAACAGCTCAGGGCGGCCCATCACCTTTTTGAGTGTGGCTGGGGTGATAGACCTTTTATAGTCCTCTTATGTCGCCAAATGCTTTCCTAACTCAGAAATTGGAATACCACATCTGTGTGAGAGTAGAAGCTGTGACAGTTGCTCACTGCCTTGTCTAGCCCTCCAGAGTTAGAATAGGAGGAGGGAGCTAAGGTAGGGAGGGCACAGAGATCTCAACCCTCCATAGGAATTGTCCTAAGCCGGCACACCTCTTGGACCCAGCCAGGGCTTCGTTCTTATTCTCTCATGGGGTACTTTCAGGAATATTTGAGGCCCCCTCTGTCCCTCCACCTCTTGTCCCTGGCTCAGGGCCTTCCCAGGTACCTTGACCAAGGCAGCTCCTGGGATGTGCTAATGTTGTTGCCTCCGACCACCACTTCCTCCTTTGCTCTTAGGAAGCCAGTGATAGCTCCAGCTTCTTTCTGCTGGGCCCTGTCCACCCTGCTAGGTGGCCCTGTGGGATAGGCCTTAAGATGACCTTAGGCAGGCTTGTTGATCTGTGTAGCCAGGGTCTGGGCCAAGGGAAGACTTCTGTACCCCCTGCCCTATCAAACGCAGGATATACCAGTCAGCCCCAGTGCCCTTCTATTAGATTTGTTGGGTGACTCAGACACCAGCCCATGGAGTTCCCAGGACTGAGGACTCCATTTCAAGCTTTTGAATGTTACATCCCCCTAGCCCAGGAGGAGTGGGACCAGTGTAGCTCTGTGCAAAGAAACCATCGCTACAAATTCTTTTTAAATATCTACTCTTGGTCCTTTCTTGCCCTCCTTGTTTTGAGGTTGACAGAGTTAGGGAGTTCAAATTCCTGCAGCAGGAGGCCGGGAGCTATCAGGAGTCCTGGTTTTGTGTGGCCACATTCTCTTTGGTGTGAGTATTGTCCTCTGGCTGGATTCTTATTTTCTACACATAACCCACACGTAACCTGGTGCCCACCCGTGGTAAGTGTAAGTGTCAGGCTGGTCCTACAGTAGCCCAGTGCCTAGAGTGAGGAAGGACCTTCCAGGCAAAGCAGGGCATTCATCAGGCCAGGGTTTCTAGAACTATCCTGGGCTGCTGGGAGTGGATGTATGGGTTGCGGGCTGCAGAACTCCAGGAGATGTCATTTCCGTCATAGCCCAGGGGAATACTTGAGCCTGGCGAAGGGAGATGGTTCTGGAGGGAAGTTTCGGTAATATCCAAGCCCAAGGTGAGCAGGAGCCCCTGAGCCAAGCTGCTGGGACTGAAGAGGAATAGGAGGGAGTGGGAGTGAGATGCTAGGAGGCAGCACTGACAGAACTTAGAGACTTAACTAAGAGGAGTAGGACATGAAGTGGGTTTCTGGGTGGGTGCCCCTGTGACTCCTCTAGATGGGAGATAACAGAGAAAGTGTGGGAGGGGTGAGGAAAGTGTACAGGGATGGGTTGAAGGCCACAGCCCCTCTGGGACCCTAAGGAGATGTTGGGAGGTGACTGGAAATACCCAGTGACTGGTCCAAAGCTTGGGAACAAGTTAGAGCTAGAAGAACAGATGGGCATCACCGCTGTGTTTGGAGCTGGAAATAGGCCCAGATTAGGGAACCTGGGTGCATGAGGACTGGATTCCCAGTGAAGGTGGAAGTGGGCCTGCCAGCCATTTGTATACTTTTCTGAAGAGTATGGAATTAAATGGTATTGGGCAGGTTGGCATTGGGAGAAAGACAAGAACCAGGTGAGATTAGGATGTGGCCTTGCTGGCATGATGGAGGAAATGCTCTTTACCTCAGCCCACATGTGGACTGCCAGCATCTGCCTGGATGGTGCCAGGGGCAGTGGAGATACAGGCCACTCTCCTCAGCCATGTCCTTTAGACCAAGAGAGCTTTTACTGTGTATCAGATGACAGATGAAAGACCTGGTAAGAATTTGAGGTGTATAGTATGAAGTCTGGAAATAATGATTGCATTTGTTAATTCTATTTTGGTCTTTGGAATCAAGGGTCTCTGAACCTGAGATAAACAGGTTTCGTTTCATAAAAGCTCTAGTCTCTAGTCATTGTTCCTTGTTGAAAGCAGACCGCAGCAATGTGCTTTGATTTGTTGGCCAAAGCACTGCCATGTGGCTCGGAAGCTTAAGCAGATACTGCACCTCTGCCTTCTTGAACTGCCATTGGTCACTCTGCAAATCCTGGTGTCGCAATAGATTAGAACTGTGTAGAAAAGATCTCGTTCTAGAGGAGAGGAGGCTGATCCAGAGGCATCTAGTTGCTTGCCTGAGTCACAGCTAATAAGCAGGAGACAGAATGAGGACTCACAGTTCCTGATTTATTTTTCCCTTTTGTTCAAAGCCCAGTGTATTGAACTGGGTAATCAGCATGGTATTTGCTATCTTATATTGTCCAGGCAAAAAAACCCGGAGCTTGTTGGGAGCAGAATTACAAATATAAGCAATGCCAACCTTCTCTGCACCTTAGCATTGCCTTTTATAGTGTCAGAAACCCCAAAAAACAGCTTAGAAGGAGGTGTGATTCTCTCCACAATATATATATATTTTTTCGAGACAAGAGTTTTGCTGTTGTTACCCAGACTGGAGTGCAATGGCATGATCTCGGCTCACTGCAACCTCTGCCTACTGGGTTCAAGGAATTCTCCTGCCTCAGCCTCCTGAGTAGCTGGGACTACAGGCGTGCACCACCATGCCCAGCTAATTTTTGTATTTTTAGTAGAGACGGGGTTTCACCATGTTGACCAGGATGGTCTCGATCTCTTGACCTTGTGATCCACCCATCTCAGCCTCCCAAAGTGCTGGGATTATAGGAGTGAGCCACTGCACCCGGCCTCTCTTCACAATTTTTAAGAAATTCACCATGATTTTCCCCTGAGCTAAGCCAGTGAGACTACAGAGGATAAAGAGGAAGGTGTGGAAGGCAGAGATATCAGGAGGCAGGACTGATGGCAGTGGGTGGGACTCCACTGGCGGTTGGGGGTTGTGGAGGAGGTTTCCAGGTGGGAGGTAAATGTTCCTCCTCTAGATGGAGATGTCAGCGGAAAGCATGAGGGTGGGTATAGATTTGCCCCTCGTGGTATTAACAGTACCACAGGGACAGTGAATGATGCTGAGGCCAGCTCAGTCTTTAAGGCAACCAGGAACTGAACACACCCTGATACGATAGCTAGGCCTGAGGCCATGGCATAGCCCATGCACTGTGGCGGGCAGCTAAGCTGTGAAGACTTCAAAAACATGGTTGGTGTTAGGGGCAGTAAGAGGGATGCACAGTGGAGATAGGACTGAGATCTGGAATTTTAACAAAAGAATAGTAAGGAAGGAAATAGGCAATCCCTAACGAGTCTGTAGGGTGCCTAGAATCTTACTGACTACAAGTATGTAATGAAACACTTTTTACAGTGTCTTAGGAGGAGCTAAAAAAATTAGAGCCATCTTTGAGATTAAAAAGTGATGCTTTAAGAAAAGGGATGCTGGCCAGGCACGGTGGCTCATGCCTGTAATCCCAGCACTTTGGGAGGCCAAGGTGGGCGGATCAGGAGTTTGGGAGATCGAGACCATCCTGGCCAACATGGTGAAACCCTGTCTCTATTAAAAATAGAAAAATTGGGCCGGGCGCGGTGGCTCAAGCCTCTAATCCCAGCACTTTGGGAGGCCGAGGCGGGTGGATCACGAGGTCAAGAGATCGAGACCATCCTGGTCAACATGGTGAAACCCCATCTCTACTAAAAATACAAAAAATTAGCTGGGCATGGTGGCACGTGCCTGTAATCCCAGCTACTTGGGAGGCTGAGGCAGGAGAATTGTCTGAACCCAGGAGGTGGAGGTTGCAGTGAGCCGAGATCGCGCCATTGCACTCCAGCCTGGGAAACAAGAGCGAAACTTCATCTCAAAAAAAAAAAAAAAAAATAGAAAGATTAGCTGGTTGTGGTGGCACCCACCAGTAGTCCCAGCTACTCAGGAGGCTGAGGCAGGAGAATAGCTTGAACCTGGGAGGCGGAGGTTGTAGTGAGCTGAGATCGCGCCACTGCACTCCAGCCTGGTGACAGAGCGATACTCTGACACACACACATACACACACACACACACACACACACACACACACAGAGAAAAGAAAAAAGACTGTTGCTTTTCCCATAAAGACTAAGAAAAAGAAGAAGAATCTCTTAGATGTGGGTAGGAGATTCTTCTCAGACTCACCGAACACTTGCCTCATTGTGGCATTCTCATTTGAGAAGGTATGTAGAGAAATTGGAGAGGGTTCAGAGAATATTATCAGTATTACTCAAGTTATGGGAAGTAAAAGTAATTTTTAAAACAGAATAAAATCTGAAGAAATCGGTTACATTTAAGTAAGACAGTTTAGAGAAATTTCTCAGTAAATTTGATAACTCAGGTAAATTTGATAAAAAGGGAAACTGTAATCAGGATTGGGAAACCAAGTAACTTTGCAGTGAGTAAATAGATGCATGCTTAGAATAAAAAAACCAAGAAACTAAAAGCAATCTCAATTGTATGCCAAGTGTTTAAGCTTTACTTAAAGTAAAATTAGGGTATGAAACCTATTTGACAATATGTGAATACAAATCCATAAACCCTGAAACAAAGTATATATAAATGCTCTTACTGATGGAAAAAACTTCATCTGTTAGATACATAAACAACACTTCCTTAAATGTGACATAAATTTCATACTGACCTCTATAGTCGATTTTAATCAAAAACTACACAAATATTTGTATTTTATAGACGGGGTTTTGCTCTGTTGCTCAGGCTGGATTCCAACTCCTATGCTCAAGCGATCCTCCTGCCTCAGCCTCTCCAGTAGCTGGGACTACAGATGTACACCACTGTGCCCAGCTAAACATTTTAACGTGATTGGTTTCAATAGTTTATACCCACAGTTTTGATGTGAAAGTGACAAACCTGAGCTGACAGCCACAGCCCATGTAGAGGAATGACTCCAGGCACAGTTCATTTTGTTAAAAAAAAAAAAAAGAAAAATCTGGATCACTGCTAATGTTCATATCTGAAATGAAGACTGAAGTAATTTTATTCTTCCACTGTAGGATCTCATACCATGTTCTAAATCCTAGACCATACACAGAATGTTAGACCAGGAAGGGGCCTTAGCAATAATGGCTCAAGCCTCCTATTGGACAGATGAGCAAGGTGAGGCCAAGAAGTGTGAGTGATGTGGAAGCTAAGGCTCCCAGTTGAATACACTCCTTAAATGAATGAATGTTGGCAAGGAATAGAATTGCGTGTGTGGCTCTGTCCACTTTCCCGAAGCCCTTCAACTAGCTCCTTGGTCCTACTAGCTTTAGCTAGTTCCCTGATCAATATGTCATTAAGCAACCAAAATATCTCATTGAATCCGAGGAGCAGCACATTTCCCACTGTGAGCTTGTGGATGTGGCAGCGCTGGGGTGAGGGGCCTGCTGCAAGGTGACATGGCCAATGCTGTGGGGTGCTGGGTGATTGGTGTTGATGCATACCCTGTATCTTTGTTACGCAAGGGTGAACTTAGCTTTCAGTAGCTGGTTTATTCAAACAGTGGGTCCCCGGATATTCACATCCCCAACTTCAGGGAACCAGCATCTACCTGGTTGTGATGTTCCCCAACTCCAAAGGTGCCATTTCTTGTCCTGGCTCATTCCTAGGGAACATTGCCTCTAAATCTTACAGTAAGAATTTCCACGAGGTTGTAGTGAGTGGTACAACCATTTTTAGCTGGTCTGTCCCTTTCTCACTCCTTATTTAACCTAAGGAAACCACTTAGAGTCTTGGAGAGAGAAAGGGTGCCTAGTTCTGGTGTGCTTTTGTTTACATAAATGTAAATGTCAAGTCTTGTTAGTAAAGTGCAATTCAAGTTACATAGCCTAACTTAAAAACAGGTACTATATAAAAAACACTTGCTGAATCTATGTGTAGCTGACAGCCATCTATAAAAGTGCATATATCTTATGCAGTCTTTTAGAGACCCTGGTTGATTGCAAAATGAAGCAGAGAAAAACATTATCACTAAATGAAATATTTTAAAAGATACTGGATATAATTCTCCTGTAACCACTTGGACTTGACAAAGATTTCTCAAAAATGATTTAGGAGGCCCACCTTTAATGCTCTTCCTAGCAGAAAGTTGCAAGTTAATAATAGATTTGATGTCCCCTCTTGAGAAGAAAATAGTCTTAAGGTCTCACCATCTCATTTTCCCCTTTTGAGATCAGATAGTATACTATGTATTTGTTACTTTTCTGACTTCTGAGTGGAGTCTGGGTTATTTTGATTGCACAATGTAATTTCCCTCATTTTGAACATTTGCTTGATTTTAGACATTTTGCCTTAGGCAACAGGCCCTTTTACATTTTTCTTCAGTTTTTCTCTACATCCTGTTTTATGTGTGGTTTAGATCATTTGATGAGTCACATGATGTTTTTTGCTGCTTTAGTGACAGAAATAGATTCAAAATAACCACACAGAGGAGTATCCCGAATGGTTACCCAACACGTTGCTCAAAAACGTGCTTTCCTACTGTTCGAGTGCTTATACGAGAGCTGTCAGAGGGCTGTGTGTGAGGGTGCTGTCTACAGAATGCAGGCACGAGCTACTGGCTTTGAACTGGCTGAACGTGCAATGCAGACATCTCAACACTCTGCATTTTTCAAAACCCTTCCTCACACTCCATTGCAATTTCGGTTCCGAAAAGGCGGGGAGCAGAACTTAGAACATAAAGGACCCCTTTTCCCAGACTGTGCACTGGTTTGATGAAGACATCAATTTAAGTTTAGAAGTTAGCTCACCTGCAGAGCTGGTACTAACTGGCACATGCTGTCCTGGGCACTGTTGTGCTAAGAGAGTCACTGAAGTAGAAAGATTTTAAATACAAGAAAATATTTCTCAAGGAAATGTAATTACAACACTATAAATACTTATTAGTTTGCAACACACATACACACACACTCTCTCTCTCCCACTTCAATTTGAAGGAAAAAAAAATCCAGTCAGCTACGAGTCTTGATATTTATGTGTTTCTAGAAACCAAGGGTATAGAAAAGTTACTCTCCCCATGCCCCTTCCCTCCAGAAGATCCCCAAATGGGGAACAAGAGAGCAAGGAGCTGTTAACATTTCATACTTCTTATTTTGAAGATATAAGTGAATAAATTTTCTGATATTTGTGATACGTAATGTTTATCCCAACCTGGAGAGAGATTCGGAGGGCTAGGAGTGAGCACTCCTGAGCTGGCCCCGCTGTGATGCACCCTGGTGTCTGGAGAACTCGGCCCAGCTCTGTCACTACCCTGGGAGCTGCCAGGCCTCCCCATCCTGGGCCCCCTAGCCCCTGCACCTCCCAAGGTTGTATTGGGAAGACTCAGAGAGTGAAGTATAAAGTGCTTTTACTGTTGTAAAGAAGCTTTACTTGGCCCTATCTGATACATCCTAAACCAATATTAAGTGTTTCAGTTTCTTAGGGAATCAGCTATCCAGGACATTTTGAAGCCAAACTTTTGATTTTAGCTAATGCTAAAAATCAAGGCAAAACAAAAATAAAGGAACAGTAACTTTGGCACGAGACAAACCCAACGCAGGCAGTCATGGGGCATGACTGTTTTTTACCCAGAAATGCAAAAAGTGGCCTTCCGTGCCCCAATTAAAGAATCCCCAATAGGGGAGGGTTTCCTGCCAATGTGCAAATACCTCACTCCCTGAGCCACGTGGCTGGCCAGTCCAATCCTACCATGACTTTCTGAGCGCAAACCTCGTCTAGTTTTTTGCTTAGACTGACGCCCTTTGCCACTGAGATCCCTGTAAGTCAGTACAGAACAAATGGCTACTGAATACTGAGAATGACCTCCCTTGTGCCCCTCAAATAAACACAGGCCACCAAAGGAGCTCTAGCCTTGGCTTACTCAGAGAAAACCCTTACACTCTTTTCTATGCTTTGAGCTGTCCAAACCTATTTCTCAGCATCTAAATGAAAAACTACTTTGTACTCCTCTATTTTTAGATTGTATTCGTCCACAAGCAGTCACCCAATTTTGGGAAAGTCATGCCTGGTCTTTCCATGGTCTTTGACATGAGAATCTGACAGGCATGGTGCCCTTTTAAATTCAGCTGTCAGCTGAACACCCTGCAGTGAAAAATAAACGTTTTGGGGGAATGTTTCTTTGGTCCCAAAAGTCAAAAGTTTGCCCCTAATGACTGCAAAGTGGGAAGGAGAAAGTTCCCCTTCCCTGGTTTGATCTCCTTTCGTGTCTAGTTGGATGATGGGACCCGGTTAGAACAAACAGATGCAGGGGAATATTCTAATTCTCAGTTTTGTTTCAGAAGTTGTTAGGCTGTGACTTAAGCAGCCCAAGTGAAGAAAATATATGAAGGATCACGTGCTTTAAGGTGAAGATTTGAACAAGTCCTGCAAAGTCAGCTCCACTGTGGTGGCCTGAGTGTGGCATTGCTTCCTGTGTTCTCAGAAACTCTAACCAAATATTATGGGCCACTGATATTGATCACTGAAGGGGTCTCTGGAGTTACATGTCCTTGTCACATAATGAAGAGGCCCTTGCTGATCCTTCCTTGATTTAGAGGGAAAGGATTTGCTTTCTTGTTTTTTTTTTTGTGTGTGTGACGAGTTTTGCTCTTGCTGCCCAGGCTGGAGTGCAGTGGTGCCATCTCGGCTCACTGCAACCTCTGCCCTCTGGGTTCAAGCGATTCTCCTGCCTCAGCCTCCTGAGTAGCTGGGATTACAGGTGCCAGCCAACCATGCCCAGCTAATTTTTATATTTTTAGTAGAGACGGGGTTTCACCATGTTGGCCAGGCTGGTCTTGAACTCCTGACCTCAAGTGATCCATTTTCCTCGGCCTCCCAAAGTGCTGGGATTATAGGCATGAACCACTGTGCCCAGCCTCCTTTCTCAATTTGTATCTTTAAGCTCCAACCCCAGAAGCATGAAAGAGTCACACATGTTAAAAAATACTGCTGTTTAATTTTCTAGTAATGTCCTTTAAAAAAGCTGATACATTTAGATGTTTTTTTCATCTTCTCAGATCTGCCTCTGAAACCATTGCAAAGCAGCTATGCATCTTAACTTTTCAGCACTATGTATATATTAATGGAGGAAAAGCCACTCTGAGGAAGCACGCCAAGGACATATCCCCATGTGGGCACACCCCGTCGGCACTGGGTACCCCAGGAACGTGAATGCAACCCTGGGATGCTCACAGCTTACTTTATGCCCTTGCATTCTTTTTTCTATGAGGAACAATTATGATCACACAGCACTGAAAACGGTAGACACAAAAGGCCTGCGTTTTTCTTTCTTTCCAATTTTTGCCCTTCCAGCTTGCACTTCTGTTCCCATTCCAGTGACGCATTTATTCCCGTTACCCATAATGAAAAATAGTTGTCATTTACCGAGCCTTACATTCAGATGCAAATTATGGGCTTTATAAAACTGCTGCAAATAAGGTACAGTGTTCATCGATACAATACGTTTCAACTGCAGGTATGTTGAGCACACAAGCAATCACCGTATTGAATTAGAGACATTTTATTGAAAATGCGAAAATAGGAAATGTATTATAGCCTAAAATAAATTACATAACATATACAGCATATATTTATATCTTTAAAATATTTTTTTGTTTAGGTTCTTTCAGTCTAGGAATTTTGACTAAATCAACAATTTAGTGAACTGTGTCTATAATTTTTTAAAGGAAAAAACCTGCTTCCAAACTTAGAAAAATATACTGCACTACATGGATTTCAAATGCATTATTTCAGGGAGGATCACATAGTGACTCTGGTATCGTTATAAAATGTCTTGCTTTATCGTATGGTGTGGGAGGGAAGTACTGTAGTACATTCTGAATTACCTGTACCGCATAGTTATGACTAAGGATGGCAGAACCAGGTAATACATCTACTTCAAAAGTTACCCTACAGCAACCTGGCATTAGAATGCTGGATTAGAGTTAAAGCTTCAGTTCACTGTAAAAACTAAAATGCAAAGTTAGAACGCTCCATGTGACACGCTCTAGTGCGACCTTCAGGAAAGGCAAGGGAAAAGCAAGGCTTCAGGAAAAGTCATGCGGCAGGGACTGGAGTCTGGAGATGCGCTTTTGTGACAACTTAAAGTTAGCTCATGTATATACACAGTGGGGGTGAGAACTGACAGCTCCCTCAGATCTAGGAAAATGCAAAGGGAAATGCTATCATTCAGCCGTGTCAGTTTGCTGCCCCCGTGCCATTTCAAACCTTTCTATGGGAGATTATACCCATCCGTCAGCCAGGTGTGGTCACAGGTCTCCATTCTGCAGTGTGAACGGTGACTCCGGGCTGCAGCCTGCTGCCCTCCTCCCGCACGTGTGGAGTAGATGGTTTCGAACTCTGAGGTGGAAGGGAAGTTTAAGAGGCCACTGGGGCTCCATCTCTTTGTACAGCCATGTGACTGGGAAGCAAATCAAAGGAAGCTGAGTTTTAACCTGTTGATTCTTAAGAGTGATGAAAGGGGACAGGAGAGTCTGTGGCCTGCTGTGCGGGGTGACCGAGAGGCGCTGGCACAGCCGCAGTCCTTTGGTTCCAAGAGGAGATTGTCCAGGGGAGGAGGACACAATGGCGACCATGAGGCAGCTGTGTCTTTTGGGTTTTCGTGAAGCCGGGGCACGAAGTCAGTTGTTTTGTTTGATTTTACATAGCAACAGTAAAGACCATTCACTAGGTCCCCCCGTCAGTGTGAGCATACCCAGTATGCTAGAGAATTGACACGAAACCTTTAAATCAAGGCCTCTTTCATTACCAAAAAAAAAAAAAGGAACAAAACACGATGGGAGAGGGAAGAGATGATGCTGAAGTGACATCCTGACTGTCCCTGCAGTGCCCATGGTGTCCCGTGCCTTATTCATTCTCCTCTCTCATCTCCACGATGTCTGTCACCTCCTCTGTTGGAGGCATGTCCGTCATGGCGGAGTCCTCCCCCTCTGTGGCCGAGTCGTTCTCCATCTTCTTTTTCTAGACCGAAGAAGACTCATCAGTGTGGGGCTGTGGATGGGGACACTGCACAGCAGAACCACCAGCAGGGAGACACCACCGGGGTCTCAGGGGACCCCTCACTGCCAGCTTATGCTTGGGGTGGCCTCATCTCTTTTGTATCTTAGTTCAGCGTGTTCCTTGCAGTTTGGTTGTCTGTGTGCTTGGCACTGAGCTAGGCAGGCACTTCAGTGTCCCACTACCCTGCCCCAGATAACCCACCCCCCGCTGCCCTTTCCAGTGGGGGCTGAGCTCTCCCCGACTCCTCACAGTCACCTGCAGACTGCTTTCCCTTCCTCCTCCCTAAAGTCTCAAGCTTGGAATCTCACATTATCAGAATATTCTACCTTGTACAGCATCCTCAGTCACCCCTGGGACAGCTCCAGGCCTGCTGTCATTCTCTATCACTCACTGTCCTAATTCCTGGTCATGTCCCGCCATGTTGCCTGTCCTTACAATAGATGGCCTCTCAGGGATCAGGCTCTCAGCCCCAGCCCACCTCAGCCACTCCTGGGTCACCACAGACCTTGCCATTATGGACATGTTTGGCACCACCAACAGGCCAAGGCAAGGACACTGTCCTCTGCCTGCCAACCCCGCTAGTCCCCCATCCACGGATCATATCATCCCTTCACTGTGGCCACCTTTTCAATGTCCTCTCCCTCCCTCATCAGCTTACATGACATGGTCCGTAATGACCATCATTTCCCTACCCTACTTTTCTTTCATTATATTTGCCAGGCAAAGCTCCAGCTGTGCTGTGGTTCAGATCGTTACCATCTCAGCTGACATGGCTGGGGGAGCCCAACGGCAGGGGCCAGCCAGTGTCCTAGCATATACGACACGTACCATAAGCAGGCCCTCTGAGAGGCCTGGCAGTCACCCTGCTGCCCTGGCCCATTAACTTGGCTACTCTCCTGACCAACTGTTTCCCCACTCATGTGTCCTCGTTCTTCCACCCTCTTAACACCTCCCTTTTCTCAGATGATGATCTGGCTTCCTACTCCGCTGAGATAAATAAGCAATCAGAAAGGCACTGGCACAAGCTCTCCAACTGCATCTCTGCTCCAGCGTGACCAGAGAAGCCACCTGAACTCCTATCTTGGGCTGCCCGGTCCTTGTGTACACAGCCACGTTTGTCCCACTGTCCCCTCTCCCATTGGCAGAATTGCCCTTCTGTAGGTCATTCCCTGAAGCAAGCCACAGGCCGAACTTCACCCCACCTTCACTGGCTTTCTGAAATCCATGTCAATACCTCTCTCTCCTTTGGAGCAAAAGTCTTGAAAGGGACTGTCTCTACTCGCCGCCTTTAGCTTTTCCCCTTTTTCTCTTACCCCACTCCCATTAGGCTTCCAGCTGTCCTAAGCCATGAGACTAGGCAAGGTCACCAAGGATTCCCCAGTGATGAGCGCCACCATCCAACCCTGGTCAGCGGCTGCACAGGCCCTCTTGCACCTGGGAGGATGCACCTGGGACAATGCACCCGGGAAGACGCTCCTGGCTCCTGGCATGACTGCTCACCTGTTTCCGATAGACATAGCATGCGGCGATGGCGACCATGGTGGATTCTCCCACAAAGCCCGCCAGGAGGGAGCCCACACCCAGGGTGGCACCATGCACCCTGCAGATGAGAACACAAAGGCAATTTGTTTGTTCAGGCCAAGTCAAGGCACAACCGTCAATGCCAAAACCCAGGAAAGTTCAGTGTAGCCTAGAGACAGCCGAGACCAGCAGCGTTCTCCATCATCTGGCTTCTTAAGGGCCTCAGCTAACAATATAATGTGTGAGGGGAACTAGGAACTTGGGGCTGGGCTGCCTCCCCGCAACTGCACATGGATCCCACAGCATTTCCCACCCTCCCCAGGACACTGGGAGCTCCCCGAGTGCAGGGACCATGTCCTTCCTCTCTTCTGGTTGTCACATCCAGCAGACTAGCCCGTGCAGGGTAGGCCGGGCCCCAACAGGAGCTCAGTGGCTATTGCTCGTGTCTGACCTGACCCCAAAAGCACTTTCTAGAAGGGATCCCAAGAGCCTCCACCTGGTACCTGGGCAGACATCATTTCCGATCTAGACATGCCTGGGGATTTCCCATGGAAATGTAGATCTTAGACCTCTGGACACAGTATTTAAGTGGCAGAAGGACCCACAGCCCGAAATTCCCTGACCACATACCCCAGGTAGGGCAGGACCACGAGGCTGGCGATGAGGACGATGATCCGCAGCACAGAGCTGGGGGCCAGGACGAAGGTTTTCTTCAGTGTCATCAGCCACCCGGTAAGATGCGCCCTCACTGTGACTGTAGAGTAGAGAACTCATTAGCCGTGCCCACATCCCACGTCGGAGAGCCAGGGGCTGCCTGGGACCCTGGCTTTGCTGCTGAGGCCCTGGCCATCTCATCTTCCTGCTAGGGTTCCCAATCCCTGTCCCTGAACCTGGGCCCAGCTGCTGGGCCAGCCTCCTCACAGCCCTTTGGGTCTAGACTGCTGGGGGTAGGCAGGCTCCTTGCTCCACTGGGACAGCATCTTCCAGGCAGCCTGGCTGCTCCTGTCTAATCCTGTCCCCACACCCGCCCTGCTTCACCCTCTGATCATCCACCTCTAGAAGAGAACACTCAGACAAAAGTGGCAACATGATGGGGCTCTAGTGTGATGCTGGGTGAGCAGAAAAGCTGGCACCAGAAGCCATCTTCTCCCTGCCTGTGGTCAAAGGCACAGGGACAGAGTGGTGAGTAGGAGGAGGAAACTGCATGTCCCCACTTCCCTCTGTGCCTTCCCTGTGCTGGTCCTGACCACTTCCACTTTTCTCTTGGTCCCTCTCCTAACAGTGCGGCCTCTCCTCTGGTATGCTGCCATCTCACAACGGGCCGCATGGCTTCCCCATGCCCTGCCTCCTCACTGGATCTCTGAGCTGCAGGAGGGCCGTGGGTGGCCAGCGGGGAACTGTGGAGGGCACAGGGCTGGCCCTTGTCAGTAAGAAGGCCCTGAGCATCTAGATTTCATCTGAAACTGGAAAGGCTTGAGAAAGTGCAGGGCAGGGCCTGACCTCCCTGTGGACAGCACCAGGCAAAGGCTCTTGGAGGAGAAAATACTCCTTCTTGGGATAAAAACTCCTTTCCAGGATATGCTGGTTTGGAAGGAAGCCTCTGCTGTCTTGACCTAACAGTGTGTCCTGCCTTCCCCCTGGTGGAAGCCTTGTATTAATTTTAACGAGGCTCGTTTTCTTCTCTTAGGCAGACAGACAAACCCATTGAGGTTTCTGACCAAAGGAGAGAGTCAGGGTCCCAGGTGTCTGCTAACCAGGCTGGCCCAAATCCAACAGATTGCAAAGAGTGGCAGGGCCTGGCAGCTGTGTGGAAGCCCTTCATCTTACAGGCAAGGAAGTGGAGTCCAATGGAGCTTAAAGGCAAACTGCATACCCAGCTACAACCTGCTCCCAGCTGGGGCACTCCAGGCCCCTCCTCTGGTCACAGCCATAGGAAATTAACTGCATGTGTCTCAATCTGCAAGTGCAGCTTCTTCTAGATGGTGGCACCTTCCAGAGCTTGGTTCACCCTGTGTCTACCCAACAAAGTCCAGATGCCATCCTGGTGCTGTGATCTTCCAGCCATTTCTCCATTTCTGTCACAGTCCAGAAAGTGACACTACAAGGCCTAAGAGCAGGGGCCACCCCGTCAGCCCTGGCCTACCTGGGCTCCATGGCTCCTTTCTTTCTTTCTTTTTTTTTTTTTTTTGAGACAGTCTTGCTCTGTCCCCCAGGGTGGAGTGCAGTGGCATGATCTTGGCTCACTGCAACCTCTGCCTCCTGGGTTTAAGCAGTTCCCTGCCTCAGCCTCCCAGGTAGCTGGGATTACAGGTGTGCGCCTCCACACATGGTTAAGTTTTTGTATTTCATAGAGATGGGGTTTCACCATATTGGTCAGGCTGGTCTTGAACTCCTGACCTCAGGTGATCCAACTGCCTTGGCCTCCCAAAGTGCTAGGACTACAGGCATGAGCCACTGCACCCAGCCCATGGCTCCTTTCTTAAACTCATTGTGGCTTTGTAGATTATGGCTTCCCAGTTTAATGATTTAGGTGGATCTTTTTGGGAAAATTATTTTTGACTAGGTGACACACGTGGTACAGAATTTAAAAGGTACAAAAGGGAATAGAGTACAAAGGCCTTTTCTTCCCAGTGGTGACTTCCCAGGCCCTTGGCCTGCTTCCCACAGGCAACCACTGTTAGCAGCTTGGTGAGTTACTTATAGAAAAAGAATGTAGCTATGCAAGCACTTAGCACATCCATATGATGATACAGACACATGTGCTACATATTTGTTATGGAAATGATTGCATACTAATCAACCATTCTGCAACCTGCTTTTCTCATTTTACCTAGAACGACCTCATTCTTGTAGAGTATACACCATACCACTGTATCAGCTTGGTGTAATAACTTTCCAACTGGCTTTTGTCTCAGCCATGGGCGGTTCCTTTCTGACCATCCACCATCTGGCCTCCAGTTGTCCTGGAGTCTTCCTTTCTCCAGCATTCCTTCTCTTTGCATAGCTCCAGGCCTTAGCAATAAGCTCACTCTATTTTTCCTTTTTGATTTTACCGCTTAAATTAAGGTATTGTAAAACTGGCTTTTTGGTGCACAGTTCTGAGAATTTTGATACATGAACACATTTGTGTACTACCACCACCACAGTCAAGGCAGAGGGCAATTTTAGGTCTACTTTCTTGACTATTTTTGCAATCACTGCACTTTTAAAAACAAGTTATACAGCCAGGCTCAGGCCTGTAATCCCAGCAC